TGAAGTAGAGCCTCCTTTTCCACCCTTTCCACCCTTGCCAGATGATTCCATTGAAGTAGAGCCTCCTTTTCCACCCTTTCCACCCTTGCCACCCTTTCCACCCTTGCCAGAAGATTCCATTGAAGTAGAGCCTCCTTTTCCACCCTTGCCACCCTTGCCAGATGATTCCATTGAAGTGGAGCCTCCTTTTCCACCCTTTCCACCCTTGCCAGATGATTCCATGGAAGTGGAGCCTCCTTTTCCACCCTTTCCACCCTTGCCAGATGATTCCATTGAAGTGGAGCCTCCTTTTCCACCCTTTCCGCCCTTGCCAGATGAGTCCATTGAAGTAGAGCCTCCTTTTCCACCCTTGCCACCCTTGCCAGATGATTCCATTGAAGTGGAGCCTCCTTTTCCACCCTTTCCACCCTTGCCAGATGATTCCATTGAAGTAGAGCCTCCTTTTCCACCCTTTCCAGAGGACATGGATCCTCCCTTCCCTCCCTTCCCCTTGCTAGAAGGTGAGCCCATATCGCCCTTGCCACCCTTGCCGCCTTTTCCCTTGCTGCTGCCTTTTCCTTTTCCACTCACGGGGTGGTCCTCCATGGGAGTATCAGGTGTAACAGGTCTGGGGCCAACATTGAGAAGACGGTATTGTCTTCGCTCCTCAATGTTGTTGGTATCGGCTCGAAGGTTTCTAGCTTGTTCGACGTTTGCGTTTTGCGCCACAACGAATGAGGTGCATGCAAGGAGAAGGAAAGCAAAGTTCTTAGTAGTCATCATGATTGCTGTTTGGATAAGCTGTTGATGCTGTTTGCTTGTTTGAATTGTGAGAACTCAAAGTGACAACCGCAGTTTTGATTCCAATGAAGAATTTTGATTTTGTGGCGACGATGACACGTGCTGCCTCGGATTGCGCGTCAACTGAAAAAAACACGACGAAAAACTTGACGAACGGACTATTTTTTGGAAACTTGGCGAACCGGCTCGGATAATCTCTATTTGCACTAGCGATTTTTGGCTGCATACTGTATTATTTTCGATCTTGACAACTATTAAAATAATAGCACTGGTACACAGGCGTATAAACCAAATCTGCTTTTAAAAAAACAAGATTGGAAGTCGGCCAATCAGAAGAGTATTTAGCGTGTCTTCTCTACACTTTATATATATAGCATGTCTAACCTCGCGAAAAATGCTAATGACCAACATTCTTGAGAGTATGCTCAGTCGCTTATGCTATGATACCAGCAAGAAGACGAAGAGGAGACAGATAATGGTACTAGACTAAAGCTCATTCAAAACTTGTCCCAAACTCAAGCAAAGGTCAAATGGGCTACACTGAGAGTCAGAGCCATTGAGAAAAGCGTAGATGCAGCAGTGGCAGAAGAATCTGCTGTGCCCCCCCTCGGAGCATCGGTTACCATTGGAGCTGCAGTTGGGGGATTTGTTGGGTCTCCAGCCGGGGCGTCAGTTTGGCCTCCCCCCCCTGCAGGAGGATCTGTTGTGTTCCCACCTCCTGGAGCCTGAGTTGGAGCTACCGCTGTAGGGGGGCCGGTCTCCACAGGAGAATCCGTGCCTCCATCCGAAGGAGCATCGGTATCCATCGCGGCGTCGGCGCCCTCATTTACTTTGGTAGCAACGCCGTCCACAATCTCAAAGAGCGCATAACTACTGTCACCGTTATCTTCGTCTTCAGCAGTGAGATCCAGAGTGAGGACGCCACTCTCTGATAGTAGAAAGTCGTCAGCAGGCAGTGTGCCAATGATGAGTGGAGAATTTGTCGACCAATCAAACGCTACAGGGTCGTATCCTCCAATGAAATAAAAGTAATCGAAACCATCAATCATACCATCCACATACACAATCGGCACGATCTGCCCACCTGCAGTAGCTGGTGTCTCAGAATAGGAATCTCCATCACCCCCTTGGGTAGTGTAAAGAGTTGGGACAACTCCGGCATCGGTAGAAAACTTTATATAGCCAGCCATTCCACCTGCGGCAGTCGCGTCCTCGAACTCGACCATATTGAAGATGTCTTCAATAGATATGGGCTTGTCCGCGGGGAAATAGAAAACAGGAGTTTCTTTACCAGCGGCACCATCACTGAAGACGTAGATCGGATGCTGGTCATTCGCAGAATTGCCAGCAACCCCAAATTGGCGATCCCACGAAGCCGAGTAAACAGACCCACTAAACGAACCAACAAGCTCACCTCCATACATGTACAAATAGTCATCACTACCACCTTGCAGCCTACGCGACTGCTTGTTGAATTCATGTTTCAAGAATCTCGAATCTGCATTCTTGCCCATCGGAACTGAGTGGCTACCACGGCTACTCCTAGTCTCCTTCAAACGGCGACGGCGTGTTCCGTCACCCAGTATTGCGGTCAATTCGACTCCAAACTCAATGAAAACAGAATCCACCCGCTTGACGACTCCAGTCTCAATATCGTGCGCGCCATTGGTGATACCAGAGACCAAAGGATTGACCATCAAGAGTCCTTGTTCCTCTTGTGGTGGGTTTGCAGTTGCTAATTCAGAGCTGCAGTATCCCGCAGACCCAAACACTGTTCCAGAGGTATAATATGTTTGCAAGAAGTCGAGCCACTCTGGTGACGTCTTGGTGGCAAAGCGACTCGACTCCAAAACCTGGAAATTCAAACCGTTTGCCCTGAACTCCTTCCTGCTGGGGAAATGCACTCCCATTCCAGTGTAGCGGCTGTCAGTACTAGGTCCAGCTTTGAATGTAACAAATTGAGCATCGTAACTGTTCTTTGCTTCCATGAGGGCAATGGCAAGGTCACCACTCGGCATACATTGGCCGTCAAAGAGGTTCATAAAGTCCATCATGTCTACCATGTCTTCGTCCTTGTCTCCTTCATCATCGGTATCACCAGCAAAAGTCAAGACCTTTGAGCGAGCTCGCTTGACAGCCGTTTGAACATTTTCATCCTCTTGGAAGGCTATGTTCAAGAACCGGCTGAACTCTTCCCATTTGGTGGCAAACTCCATATGAGCAGTAGTGTCAACAACAGCAAGGGTCTTGGGTGTTTGATGACCATCTTCCGATTGTGGATCAGATGCAAACAGATCGACGATTCTAGTGGCAATGTTGACGGCACTATCTAGTTCAAGTCCAGCGTATGACCAGCCTAGATGATTGACAGGATGATTTTAATGTTCAGAACGGTGGCATTGATACTGCAGAAACAAACTCTTCCATTTTCGTTCGTCTTACCGTGACCTGGTTCAACGTCTTCACTGGCAAGAAAGTTCTCTGTAATCGAGCTGTAATCATCCAATGCCCCATAATCGGACATGAGACAGGCATCGAACCCAAGCACATTCAACTTGGCTCCAACTCCAATTTCGCTATCAATCGCACTTCGAAGTGCACCGGAAATGCTACCATTGTCAAGCAGCTGTCCAAGCCGGCGTCTTCTGGCAACATCATCTCCACCGAATCCACCAAAACCAGCGCCATGAGAGCTAAAGGCCATCATGTACTCGGTGGCTCCCTTTTCACTGCAGTCACGAAAGGCCGTGGTGGCGAAGTCTTGGACTACCGACATGGTGTCCGAGTTGAGTTCTCCGAGATTCTCCACAATTTGCATTTCACTGAACTCATGGTTGTAGCTCAAGTAGTATACATCCTGTGTTCTATTTTCTAGAGGATTCCCTGCGGTATCAAAGATATCTGGCAATGGATCGGGTGTGCCCTCGGCTTCTGGATCACCATTGTCAAAATAAACCCAACTGATGGTGTCTGGATTCTTCATCAGACTAGATTGCATGTATTCTGCAAGATCTTGGCGAATGAAGTACTCGAGATCATTGTCTATAAATAAATAAATACAATAGTAGTGGAATAAAAGTCAAAATGAGTTCGTGTGGTCAAAGATTGCTTCCTCTTCAACATCGAGATCAACGTAGCTATACAGCAGGAAGCAAATCGTACCTGCCATCTGATAAATGACGAAACACAGCTTGTTTGCCGTAGCCAAAGGGGCAAGGAGCATCTGAACTCCAAGAGCCAACAAGCAGATGGAAGGCAGTTTCATCTTCTCGGTACAATACTTTTGAATGGTTGGTGACAATACTGTGGGCAGGATAATAGTGCCAGAAACCTCCAAAGAATGTCTGTTGGAAATGTGATTTTTAGGACCTTCTGGGACAGATGGTGTCAACATTTTTTAACCTTAATGAACGATGCACGCCAGTCACGTTGTTGATATATTCGCCGCCTTCTAATCCCGAACTGTTTACACCGAGAGTCTCAATACACTGTACAAAATTATAGCACAACGGAAGCTTTGGTATTTTAGCACAGAAACTAAGAAACTCTTAATGTACAGTAACAGTCCTTTCTGTGGTTCGGTTTTGTCGCAGTAGTCGACTGCCTGCAACTTCCATGCTGTTGAAAATTTGCGTGTAAAAAAGTACCACTTCGAATACTGTACCGCTATCTAAGATAGCCTACTGCCGTCCTCCGTGTGTGTGTTCGTAGTATTTTGTCTTGGTGTGTAGCTGGTGGGTTGTGGTGTGAAGCGGGTCGAACTGATCGAGTAATAGACTCGATTCGTTCGACCAATCTCAGAAATCCCGTGTGCGGTATTACTGAGATCTGCTTTCCTACCAGGCACCGCCGATATGGTAAAATGGAGGCGGTGCCCAACAGGGCGGGTGAGGTTTGGGAGAGAAAAATTGAATTACCGCGACACAAGTGGGTGAATTCAATCTCAGTCGATAAACTGGGCATCATTGCCTGGGCGCATCGACAACAACTTTTGACGGTCGAAGGCCGTTCGGCCTTTGTCCGTCTGTAACACAATGTAGTCAAAGAAATCGAACAGTGTGCCTGCGGTCTACGTTGGAGTACCGGTACGATTGATTCATACGATGTGCCACCAACTCAAAAGAAATTACGAATAACATCATCATTCGACTCACACCATAATAGAGACAGCGCCTTTTATTGCTTGTCTTCATTATTCCAGATACAGTACAATGCAGTCCACTTCACACAGTACAAGTGCTGGAGGTCCATTCCTTCGAATCCTTTGTCTGCACGACGATGAATCCCATGCCATGGAACTGTCCAATTCTCTGGAAGTTCTCGGAGAACGGCTCTTTGAAAAGCACGGGATCGATCTTGTCTACGTGAATAGTCCCCTGATATCTCGAAACCAACAAGTGCTGGGGCCCGAGGAACTTCCAAATCGTGTGTGGTGGGAGGAGCAAGCGCCTACCCTAACTCCTCCTGCACCATCTACCAACCACTCACCATGGAATGATGACGACGACGCCGAGGATGATGATAATGACAGCAAGAGTGCCGATGATCCCAACACACAAGAGGCTCCTCACGGAAATTCAAATGACAAGAGCTTTGTTGGACTCGATGCCTCGCTGTTGTTGTTGAAACAAGTGTGGAACAGCATGCCCTTTTGGGGCATTATGGCGATTGGAAAAGGTGCCGCCGTCGGAAGTTTTCTTCCATTGATGGGATTGAGTCCAGAGCCACATTTTTGCTGTTTTGTTCATGGGGAGTCATTGTTAGTAGAAGAGACCGAACGATTGACCGATATTCCATGTTTGCACATTGTCGGTACGTGAAAAAAAGGATGTCTTGGTTTCCACATATTGACAGTATACTAATCGTTCTTTTGCGCTTTCGTTGAATTTCAGGCGAGGATCCTGGGCCATCTGAAACTTTGTTTCGACAATTTGGCGGCGATGTTCATTTGGGTGGAAAGAAATTGACAAAGTCACTGCTCAATATCATTGGAAAGGTAGGAATGGCAAAGAATGATGCTTCCCACTTGTTCCCGTTGACTAACTATGTATTTATCTATCGTTGCTGTCTCTTTCTCTGTCTACTACTACTTACTTTTTCAGTTTGTGGTGGAGCAAAAGAAGAAACTCCGCGAGGACAGTCCGGAAACGAACATTTTGGCGCTCCAAAATCAGTTGTACATGGTGGAACAAGAAGCCGCCAGTATTGTCGCCGAACGCATTGCAGCGAATCCACCAAAAGCGTTAATGGCTGTGATTCAACCACAAAAAGTAGGCGGATGGAGTGGTCGGAAACGGCGTGGGCCAAAGGAGGAAGGAGGTGGAGCACCCTGTCCGTCCGAGTTTCTACTCAAGCGGGAAAAGAGGACCACCAATCCGGATGGTCCTACGAGGAACCATCCCAATGATGCCAGGAATAGTTCACAGGAGGAACAACAAGGAGAAGAAGAAGAGGAGGAGCACGTAGAACAACCACAAGAGCCAAAAGGAAACGACGGAATAGCCTCCAACACTACTAATTCATAGAAATTTCTTTTATATCTCCGAAGAATGCATGACTGAAAGCGGGATTTACATGATATTATTGCGGGATTTACCAAGAGCATACTCTTGCATACTCTTGCATTACATGGTACCATTGCGGGATTTACTCGGGATTACTGTGGGATATTCAAGTGTGATTCACAAGAGCCAAAAGGAAACAATAGCTCTCAACACAATGGTCCTTTCTGCCACTGCATTTTTAGCAAATCCCGGATGATACGCATTGTACTGTATATCTCAAGTGGGATCCAGAGGGCGAATCATTTTTGAATTTGTTCGACGCAAAATCGACGTGGCTACACCGCTCGCCGCGCCGCGCAGTGACGGGCTGACATTCTCGTTGGACATCATAACCCCTTCGCATTAACATCACTTATTGGTCCGCCACACAGTACCAAGATTCATTTCTGTGAATCTATGCTCCTCCTGACAGGGTTAAAATCGACGTATGCCCAAAAACAAGCTGCCAACCTGCCAACCAACATTTTTGTTTTGGAAAAACTGCCTGTTTGTTGTCTTCATTATTTGGTTGTCTTACAACCTGTATTAGTTGTTAGAGTTTATTTCCACTCTTTCAAGCTCCTTTCATACCTTCTGTTCCTCCATCTTCTGGACCATGTGCAAGACAACTCCACTTCCACCCAATGGTGCGGCCATTGCAAGCAAACCACTGCCAGCACCGTCAATGGCAGCCCGATATGGATGTGCGGCAATGATGGTCGCAACGTTTGCTGCCTGGGGCAATGTTGTCTTTGTGGATGAAGCTACGGCTCCTGGACTTGGATCACCACTGCACAGCTACAAGGTTCCTTTGGTGTTGACGGTCGGATACCTCATCAGTCTTCCGCTACTTCGAAGTTTCACAAACAATTATTTATCCAAACAAGTCGACATTAAGCTACTTTTGAAGGAGACCATGATCATTTACAATGGAGGACAAGTCTTGCTCAACGGATGGATGGTTTGGAAGATCATTGATGCTGTCTTGTACCACGATCACCCATTCTTTGGAGATGTTCATACCGTCACAGGGGCATCCTTTGCCGTTTGGGTTCACTACATGGACAAATACCTCGAGTTTTTCGACACCTTTTTCATGGTTCTCAGAGGGCGAATGGATCAGGTGAGTGAACATTTTCGCTTATGTGTTGTGTGATCAATCATGCAATATGCGTATGCGTATTGCTTTTGCTTTTGCTGACTTGTTCTTATTCTTTGTCAGGTTTCTTTCTTGCATTTGTATCATCATGTTACCATTGCTTGGGCATGGTGGTATGCCATGGCATCTTGGCCGGGGGGCGATAGTTACTTTGGAGCCCTTTTGAACTCCTTCATTCATGTTATGATGTATTCGTACTACACATTGAGTCTGCTGAAGGTCAGCTGCCCATGGAAACGACACCTCACAAAGTGTCAGCTCATTCAATTTACTACCGTTTTGTTCTACACTGTCAGCATGTCCATCTATCACATTCGAAACTCGGAATTGGAGACAAAACATTACTGGTGCATGGGAATCCAGTCTTTTGAGATGACTAGTTTGTTCTTCCTTTTCATGGCGTTTTACTCCAAGGCATACAAAAACAAAAAAGCCAAAGGCGAGAAGCAAAGATAGACAGTGATAGTGACGACAACAATCGACAACGACAACGGAAAATCCATCATCAATCTAGAAAACGCGAAGAAAAAGCACGCTATGGATGTTAATTCGACACAAAGTTTGTAAAATAGACGAATCCTTTTTTCAGGGTATCTGCATTCTTTCATCGTGGGCGACAAAGTTCCTTTTCATCTCCGCTGAATGGATCAATCAATTGATCCTCGTGCGTCGTGTTCAATCTGTTAGCAGAACGCACAGCACGACGTCGTTGGAGACCAAATCAGCAATTCCCGTGAATCCCCGTAGAAAGTTGGTATCATGACAATCCCATTTTTTGTTGAATTGAACGATCTAGAGCATTCCCACTAAAAAGCAACTGACTGTACTGTATATAGCAAGAGTCAGTCGTAATAGTCATCAATGACACTCTCAAACACGAGTTTGAGTGAGTGAGTGAGTCGAAAAGGATGCGATCGAGTGGGTCAATCACATCACGCAAAGCCACACATACCATACCGGTACTGTACCACCGGGTCTTCAGAAGCAGATACAGAATGCCACTATAATATTTCAAAAGAAAAATAATTTTTCTTTCCCGCTTCTGATTTTTTTAATTTCAGAATAATGTCTCCTCAATCCTTCGATTTTTCAGCACTCACAAAACATATTCGAAGATCATGACAACAGGACAATCCAAACAGGGGAGAAGACTCCCAGATAATGTCGTCCAAGCCTGTGAAGATAGGTTCGAGGAATTTACAAACACTCCTGGCAAAACAGGCGCGGCTAGGCGAAAACGCAGAAAAGAAATTCCTCAGGAAATTGTAGTTTCCTTGGAAGGGAATTGGCAGCAAATGAAAGATGGCAAAGAGTTATCCAACAAGGAAAAGGTGGGCCGCATAAGAGCAAAACTGAACGCAATGGAAAGCGGAATGCAAAGCGGAACCGCAAAAGGTACGGTGACGGCCATGTTGAAAGAAGAATTTGGTGAGCAGCTGGCGCAACTTGTTCTTTCCATGATGGACTCGTTCGGCCAACAACCACCACCACCACTATGGTCAGGGGGGGTACGCACAGTCGTTTTGACATTGAACGCGCAAGAGCAGGCGGCTGTTGGGGCGGCAATGGAGTCCCTGGGGCGACGCCGAGCCGAAGAGAGTTTAAAGGCGGAAAGGGAATCCATTCGACAGCAACTTAAGGATTTGAAACGTCCCCCAGAAGATGCCGCCTCGGCTCATCAAGATGTTGTAGGTAAATCTGAAGAAGCAGGGGTTAATTTTGCAGCCGTCGCCTCGGTCCACAATCAATGTAAGCCATTTATCATTCTGATTCTTGCTCATTCCCGTGATATTCATTATGCTCACCTATCAACTGCCTTTCATCTCCCACCCTTCCAAGATTTGGAATTGCCAAATATAAACGAGATGCTGCCGTTGCTGCCTCAAAAAACGAGGGATCAAGCATCGAAACGTCTGAAACCCAATCCTCCAGCAGATAAAGCCGTGGGTATATCTGACGATGGGGAGAAGGATGAATTGGATCCCCCAGTAGAGAGAACCATGCTTAAACCTGAAGAAGTGGAGAAGGATGGATTGGAAACTATGCAGAATTCTCAATCAGGTCTCCCGATTAGTGCTCGTCCAATGTCTCCAGAAACTCGAAGAGGGTCAGATCAATTATTGCAACTTCGGAGACCAAATTTCCTAGGGAGAACCTTGGGCAAAGCTGCCGACGAAGTGGAGAAGGATGGATTTGATGTTGTAGGTAAATCTGAAGAAGGAGCGGTTAATATTGCAGCCGTCGCCTCGGTCCACAATCAAGGTAAGCCATTTATCATTCTGATTCTTGCTCATTCATTATGCTCACGTATCAACTGCCTTTCATCTTCTCCATCTTACGTCTCGAAGTAGAAACGTGGGATCAAGCATTGAAACGCCTGAAGCCCAATCCCAATCCCCCAGCAGGAAGAGCCCTGGGTTCAGAAGTGGATATGGATGAAAAAATGGATATGGGTGAAATAGATTATCGTAGAATATTTGATGAACCAGACGAAGAACAGAAGGACATAAAATTGCAGCTTCAAGCACTGAAATGTGCGAAAGAATCCAATGGTCGAGCAATGATTCAATCAGGTCTCTGGATGGACCCTCGTCCAATGTCTCCAGAAACTCGAAGAGGGTCGGATCACTTGTTGCAACTTCGAAAACTCAATTTCAAAGAAAGGATCGTGAATGCACCTAAAAAAAAAAATGAGGAGCATATGCCCACACTACGCTTGCCTCGGGGAGATAGTTTTGAAGCTCTCACCATTGACCCTCGTTCAATGTCTCCAGAATTAGAGATTTGTGAAAAAAATTGGATCGAGTTACAAACGTCTGAAACCCAACCCTTCAGCAGAGAGAGCAATGTACTGCTGAAAAATTATGTAGTACTGCGGAATTCCCTTGAAACTGCCATTCCTGTAATGTGTCCAGAAGCATGGGATCAAGCATGGAAATTGGCTTGCGCCAAACGTCGTCTCCAGAGACGCGAAAAGATGCGAGATCGAAATTCGTTCAAGTCTTTCTCAGACGAACTTGGATAATAAGGTCATTCATTATGGGTGCCAACGAAGTTGCCCATGCCAAGGCAAACTTCGATGGTTTGAGTTTTGAAATCCCTCCAATCCAATCTTCCATTTTCAAACTTGTAGAGGTGACTCCTTCCTCGAGATCAAAACGTAAGACACTCCTCGAAGAAGCGACAGTTTAGAAGTGCCTATCACATGTTAGCTTATTAAATGCATTTTATACATCTTGATATTTTCTGGGGTCCAAATACATGCGACCATTGTAGTATGTATTGAATGAATCATCGTTTGCCATCAGTGCTCTACGATGAGAGCAGCAATTGGATTTTCTATTCTGCCTTCTTGTCACTCTTTCCGGATGCCATTTTAGCTGTATAATATATCAAGAAGGGAAACACAGGGATCTCAAGCCAAGTCCATGCGGGTACAGGCAGGGCCACAGTATTCATAATAGATCCAATCATCGTCAAGCCCCCAACAATATAACAACACAGATCACCGGAACCCTCACCACCATCAGACGATGCCAATTTCGAAGCAAGAATACCGCCTACAATGGCTTGTCCGTAGTGTGCGCAAAAGACAACCGTATACGCCAAGGGTGGCAAGGATTTAATATAGTCGCCAAATTTCTCTTCATCGTCAAAAGAGACATCTGGAGGCATGGGAAACAAATACTTGGAATTCAGCGTAATCAATCCCATATTGATGGCTGATCCAACTGCTAAACCTCCTACAACGGCTAATCCATTGCGAACAAAGAGGTTGGTAGTAGATAAAGACATTGTGCGTTGTGAGTTACTATTGAATTGAATGGATGGTGGGATGTCGTGTTGCGTTGGAGTCGAGGAGTATTGAAAATGTTTGTTCAAAAGATACGTGTTCCCCTTCTCTACTTCGCCATTAGTGATTTTGGATCGAAGGAGTCCAACCCAAGTACCATGGTTTTACGTATTACGCAGCGGTACGATGGCCATTGCACCTCTTCGACCACACAAAATCTATCATCATCATCATGACAGATCTTCGTCAAGCGGACGGCACATGGCTAAATGATGAACAGGATACGGAGAAGTCGTAAATACCTCTTTGGTCTGATCTTCAGCATCTTGCTATGTTCAAGTTCTGCCCTTCAATCACCAGTTGCAAGAATCACCAATCAAGTCAAAACTGGATACAGTCGACGAGTTGCTGCTGATCCTTCCTTTCCAGCAAAGTCTGTTACGGAAGTCATTTTGGCAGCTGGAACTCAGCTGGCAGCAGAATGGAATCGACGAGGTGCCAGTAGGCTCTTGCCGGAGATTGATTTTGTACTGCCAGGAGTTTTGACTGCCGTCTTTGGCAAATATTACAGGTAGGTTTCGTTTCTTCACATCACCATGAAAACCAGAGTCAATGTCAAATTTTTGACCGTGCGCTCGTCCGTCGCTGAATCAAAGCCGATACTCTGGAAAATCAGACTTTGTAGGATGTTTGCTGGTAGTACGTGAAAGGACCTTTTGGCCGTTCACGGAATCAAGTGGCGTTCTACACTGTATCTTTGTCTGTCTATTGAAAAGCTTTTGCGATTTTCTTATAGCCCTGTACTGATGCAAACATTTTCTTTCTTTTAAGTATGTGGAGAGTTGCCAAGACCATTGATGACCAATCATCCAAGCCGGTTTCTTCAGAAGCGACAGAGGCCAAAGATCAAATGCTATTCAATCTCGCTGTTCCAACAAATGCCTTTCAGGTGTACATGTTGGATGGTGTGACAAAACCAACGCCGATTCAGCGAGCAGGATCCATGATAGCGCCCATGCTCCCTCTCTTTCGTGCTGGATTTATCGCGTCGATGGTCGGCTACGGTATTGCTGCTGTCTTCATTGCGCTCCGGTCTGTCCTTTTGCCATCATACGTACCAGCAACACAGAGTATCAATATCTTGCATGCATCCGTGTATACGGGTTGCTTCATGGCAATCGTCTCCAATGTCCGCTATCAGGTGTTGCAAGGAGTTGTCGAACCATTGATTGAATACTCATTTCATAAGCTACCAGCGGTACGATCTTTGCTAATATTGCTTGTGCGATGGCTCAATGGCTTGCTTGGATCGGTTCTGGCCATTTCTGGAATGAGATTCTTCGGTCTTCAAAAGCTAAAATGAACAGAATGGAGCGACGGATTATCACATATCAGATTTTAATTTATTCTGACCAGTCCGTTACCATTCAAAAGTATGTTGTTTATCTATTCTCTAGACTGTCAAGTTGCAAATCCTGTTATAGAATAAAAAAATCTAGCTGCTTTTTGTTTCACCCTTCTCTGCCTCCACGTAATCACCGAGATCAATGGCCTTGCCTTCGTCCTCCTTTCGAAACGGCGCAAATGGCATGGAAAGAGTAGTTCCAGTAGGAGGTGCGAGGAAGCAAGGGAATAGTAAAGGATCTCTTGCTTCGGATGATGGAGTTTCATCACTGGCAGGTTCCTCTGGGGAAGGTATCGAAATTGCTTCCGGAGCGGGGGCCGTAGACTCTGCTGGGGTACTTGGTTTGTCTGCTTCCAAAGGAGCTGCTTTTGGTTCTGCTTCCTTTGGTGCCTCTTCTTCCGGCTTCGTAATCGTTTCCTCTGGCTGTGGGTCTGATTCAGGAGCCACCGCCGTTTCAGGCTCAAATGTCTTTTCGGGTTCGGGCGAAGTTTCCTTGGCGTCCGATTCAGGAGCTACGGCTTTTTCAGGTTCAGGCGCCTTTTCAGGTTCGACTGTCTTTGGAGTTTCGTTTTCTTCCTCCTCCTGCTTGACAGCATCTCCTGACGCTGGCTTCTCTTCTGTCGCTTCCAGTGCTTCTTCTACCTTTCCTTCCTGCTTTTTCGATTCCAGCTCTTCTTTTTGAATATCCAACAACGATTTCTTGACACTGGTGTTGGCAACATTGGTAGGACTCTTGGCCCAAGTGAACTTTGGAGCGGCCTCTTTCTTGGTTTCTTCCAGACCTTCCTCTTTGGCGGCTTCGGATGGCTCAAAGGAGAATTCTGGTGGCTGAATGCTTACAATATCATGAATGGCGAGAAAGGCATCCAATCTGTCTCCATTGGGAACCTCCAACTTGGATGTTTCGGGTGGAATCCCTTGAATTATCTTGTCCGAAATCGGAACTAGTCGGTTTGGATCCTTGTCGCGGGCAGTATTGTAAGCTTCCAACCACACCATTAATTCGTCAAACATGCCCGCCGAATCCGACCGTATACGCGAGACCAGCGCTTTGTCTCGGATCACCATTGTCTCTTTGGAATTGATGTCTTCTTCCATTTGACTAATGGTGGTCGTCATACCCAAACCTTGGCACATTTCAATTTCCCGTTTCTATTTTTAACAGTGAAATTACGTTGTGAGATACCACTTTTAACAACACACAACGACTTATCAATCATCCGCATTCCACAAGTACTTACCATTTCCGCCACTTGTGTTTGATTGTTCACAATTCGCTTTTGCAAAAGTTGAAACAAGCTGGCCTCTGATTGAAAGTAGTTCTTGGCCCTGGTCAAGTAAAAGTCCATGGCCTTGGAGGCATTCTCTTGCGGAGAAGCTCCTTGGGAAATGGCTTGGACCGATCGTTCGGCGAGTGCATCGTCAAAGTCCTTGAGCAAATCCACCAGACTACGAACGTATTCGTCACTTTGCAGTTGCACTGATGCTTCTTGCAAGGCTTGATTGAGTTTCTTGGTTTCGTCCGATTGTTGTCCCTTCTTGTCATCCATTTCTTCTTGAATCTTGAATTGTTTGTGGACCAGCTCTTGATCCTGCGCCTCAAGTTTGGCAATGGATTTTTGCAATTCTTCAATCTGCGTGGCCAGCAAGTTTCGTTCGGTTTGAACCATTTCAAATTCACTACGGAGTCCCACTAGCGCTTGATGATTCCCTTCCTTGTTTTCTTCGTCATTCACTTGTGCTTTGAGTTCGGTATACATGAATTCGTGTTGATGAAAGGCGGCATTGGTATCGTCGTCAACAATGGCCGAAAAAATGTCCGTCTTGGCAGCCGCCTCGGCCGCCGCTTGGGCGTTGCTGCCGTTGCTACCATTTGAGGCGGCAACAATCGCCCGGCAGGATGCCAAGGCAGCCGCTCCAAATTGCTTGGCGACAATCCGATGAGTTTCCCGTTCGGAATACATTGCCGCAAAACCCTTTTTGGCAATGCCACCTTTTCCATTGGCGGTCGTAGCTGGTGCCTTGTTGTTGTTGTTGTTGTGGAATAGTTTGGTACTGTCGACATTCTTGGCATTGGAAATTCTGGATTCTTTCAAAATGACATACATGCGAGCCACCATGAATTCGGCCACCCGTTGGGGAATTCCTTCCGATCCTGTCTTTTTCATTTGGTAGACCGTGCGTGCCTGTTGGAGGATGGAGGGAAAGCTATTACTATTATTGTCCGAGGCGGGCATCCCACACTTTTGCAACAAATTTTCCAGCAATCGAACCATGCCGGGCAAAATGGTAGATTCAAATTGGGCTGAGGATGATTCGGTAATGGATCGCCGAATGATTTTGGACAAGGCCACGGTCGAAACCGAAGCGCACAATTCTTCCAACTATAATGTTTGGCGAAATGACGAACAAAAAGACAAGGTTATGTTAGATTCCACCAAGACAAGATACATTCATCCAAAACAAACAAGTATGTACATTTAAAAAAATACGTACTTCATTTGGTTTGGCAGCCTTGATGATCCATTCCGTCATGGCAAAAATGGCGTCGGCCAAATTGTCGAATCCTGCCACCAAATCCAATCGCGCCGCCATGGAATTCAAGTTCGATTTGCTTTTGCCATTGTTTCGTTTTGGTGTACTCGATACTGAAACTACTGGCTTGTTGTTCACTTGACTAGGCGTCAAATCTGTGGCTTCTACCTCTTTGGTTTCTTCGACACCACCACCGTCGTTATTTGGTTTGTTCTTCTTCATCTTTTTGCCTTCCTTGAGATACTTGAGGACATGATCGTATTCATCATATGGCATGTTCTGATTCCACATTTCGTCCATGGCAGCGTCAATTTGTTCGGCAGAAAAGCCTTGTTGAATCAAATCACTTCTCAACTTGGCATGATTGTTCATTTTGGAAAATTCCAATTCCTTTTGACGTTCTTGTTCCTTTTGGCTTTCCGTCTGCTTGCTCTTGTTTTTCTTTTTACGGTTTCGTCTGCGTCGAGCAGCATTGATTGGTTTCTCGGTCGTCTTTGGATCAGACGATACTGGCGGTGGTGATGCGGATGCTGTTTCGTCGGTCATCTTGTGCTTCAATTATTGATGGATGAAATAGAATAATAATGACTGTGTGCCAAACGGTATGTAGTCTTTGTTCGAAAGATGAGGTCTCAAGACGTGGTCAGTTTGCAAGCTTGGTAGGAAGAGTATGAAAGATGATCACGCAGAGTTTGTGTAGAGCCCTGTTGTCAAATGTTGCTCAAACGACCTTTTGTGTAATGAAATATGGTACAGTACTGAAAAGTGTGTCTTGTCACGTTCAATAGTTGATACCGGTAGTTGAGTGACCGCGCAATTTTGTGTTTGTCCGATACGAGTACCTATAAAATAAATTCAATCCCGTTCCTGCGTCACATCTTTTTGGGGCAACGCAAAAATATTGGGGGTTTTCTTCCATATGATTGGATGAGAGTATGGAATGAGCTGGCCGACATGCATGAGAAAAGATTGATTCGTCAACGAAGAAATTCTTCGTCAAGAAGAAAGACAAGGGCGTTCGTAGAAACATAGAAACAGTAGTTACAACTCGAGACTACAGCCATGATGTTTTCTCATAGAACGGTCCTCTTGCTGGCATTTGTTTCAACTGTCGCCAATGCGTTTTCTCTACTTTCTACCTCGTCACCATCGAATCGTCATTATCCATTGATTTCATCATCATCGCCACGATCATTCTTTCTGCAAGCTGCCACTCTGGATGCACCCGAGGTTACTGAGGATCCAAAGGCTGTCAAAGAAGAAGAAAAAGTGCCACAATCACCTGGTCTCCGCGAAGACAGCGTATTTGACTGCGATGGTTCGGTCCAATATTGGAAGGACTTCCAATCGGAAGGAAACGACGGAAATTTGCAACGACTCGTTCAAATTTTGAGCGAAGAAGCCAACACGGACAATCTGGCACGTGCCTATTGGGCTAGTCATTTGCTACGAACCGGATATTTTACCATGAATGCTGCTTTGGGATCTGTCTTTAGCGATGTCCACGAACGATTCATTGCTTCTCGTGATAGTCGTAATGCGAAGAACAAGGAGGAGAATACTGAAAACATCAGTCCAATCTTTGCCAACGACAATGACATGACGAATCGTCTCATCAATTCGGATATTCCATCTCGATTGTTGTTGGAAGCCTTTCGGGTCTACTATCAAGATTATCAATACGTCAAGGACGGATTGCTCAAATTTCCATGGGATGCCTTGGTGCAGTCTCGGTCTGGAATTCAACTCAATACCAATCATCGACAGTCCAATCCGATCTTTGCCTTGCAAGAGACGGCAGCTTCCATTTTCGAATCGGTGGCCATCTTTTCAAGACGCAACAAGCAATCTTCCAAAGGTGTCTTTTTGTCGCAACCAAAAAAGTCTGATGATGTAGGAGCGTTGTTGTATCCCGATTATTATTTGAATGACTTTCATTACCAAACGGATGGATGGTTGTCGAGTAAATCTGCCCAACGGTACGAGTCCTCTACCGAGACTCTCTTTTTGGGACGTCAAGATGCCATGCAGCGGCAAACTTTGATTCCCATTTTGCAATCTGCCTCGAAACCAACAACCATGCTCGAAGTGGCAGCCGGAACGGGACGATTTGGTACCTTTGTTCGTGATCACTTTCCTACGGCCAACATGACGTATACCGATCTATCTCCATTCTATCTCGAAAAGGCCCAAGAAAATGACAAGTATTGGATGGAACAACGAGGACAAGATGCTCTGAAGGAAGCTGGAGTAGTAGTAAGCGAGAAACGAAAACCAGAGCCAGCCACCTTTGTACAAGCCAATGCCGAAGACTTGCCGTTTCCAGACAATTCCTTTGATGCTGTGACGTCCGTCTACCTCTTTCATGAGCTTCCCAAGAAAGCACAACAAAAAGCTGCCAAGGAAATGGTGCGAGTCGTCAAACCAGGTGGTATGATTGTCTTTACCGATTCCATTCAAAAGGGAGATCGACCGCCTTTGGATGCGTATATGGGCAATTTTGGCAAGCTCAATGAGCCACATTATGACAACTACATTGAAACCTACCTCCCAGATCTCTTTGAAGGATGTGAAATGGACAAGAAGTTTGTAGCCTCGAGCACAAAGACATTGTCATTCATCAAAAAATAAGAAGAAGCAAGGAGAGTATTAAGGCGAGTTTTGTTATAAGATATCATGTGGATATGCAAAGGAGGAGTAATTGGGACTGTTGTCAACCTATAATGTATGACACAATGTTTAGAGTAAAATAGATTACTAGAACAGTTTTAAAGTTACCTATTTTCAAATGTACTCCTGAAGTTCTCGCCTCAAATTGAAAACTATGATTCGTGTTATAATAGATAAATTAGAAATGTTCTAAATCTCATTTTTAACAGGATTAGTAGTCTTCCAATTCAACGCGTTTCACACAAAGTACTTACATCAGAATAACAAGCAGGTAGTAACAACGAACTTATCGATACCTTCTTGTTTTGCCTTGCTGCGGTATTGAGGAATGCAAACGCTTCGACCGACTATCGAAAAGGCAAAACACTTTGAATTTCGTTTTTAATTAAGCAGTGCAGTAGCAAGATAAAACCCACTTCGCTTCTGCTTTCAAGTGGATTGTTGGACTTATCGATACCTTCTTGTCTTGGTTGCTGCGATATTGAGGAATGCAAACGCTTTGACCGTCCATCGAAAAGGCAAAGGACTTCGAATCTCGTTTAAGCAGTGCAGAAGCAAGATAAATCCCACGCCGCTTCTGCTTTCAAATGGACTGTTGGAATGCTGCATTCTGATCCATCGGCGCCTACTGTACTCAAATCGAGAGCGCCGATGCCGATTTTCAAATTGTTGGAACTCCACTGGTCTTCACTGATGCATCTGATGTATACGATGTTGCGCTTCTGACTCCTGGCTGTTTTGCATCATGACTCATGGCTATTTAGCGTCTGCTGTGGTACGTGTCGTGCGCTATCATGCTCCATTGATTGCTCTTGTTGCTTGTTGGAGGCTCGCGATCGCAGTGTTGTCGATGGAACCGCAATAATGACAAGCACAATGATGGTGCACAAGTACTACCGGTATAGCTCCCGCCGTCAAAAACGGTACCAAAACGGACGAAATATTAGGTGTGCCTCTGCGAAAGTCATATCCGGGTCGCTTACCCGTTTTGATGTCATCGTACCACGGTACACGTGTATCTGTACGTGTACCTATGGCGATTTTCAAATAATCGTCGCCTATTTTATTTTACTGCATGGAATTCCTGCCGAGAAATAAAAGAGCAAATGACCGATGTCACCGCAGACGCGTGTGCGTGAGATAGACCTACTCGCATACCGGTACAGCCTTATTCTGTATCTTGAATCAATCTCGCTTTGGTCTGCAAAAAGAAGTTTCTGTATAGAGAATGCCCACACTCCACGATGCCGCAAGAGAAGGGGACTGGGCCCTCGTAGATAGGCTGTTGCGCATGGGCGGTGCCGACATCAACGAATTGCGCGTTATTGAACCGGATGATGATTTAACGGATATTTTCGATGTGATCAATATGATGCCACTTTGTGAAAAAAAGACTGCGTTGCATTTTGCCTGTGACGCTGGAAATTTGAAAGTTGCCCGGCTACTGTTGGATCGAGGTGCTGATGTGAATGCAAAGTGCTCTCATGATGAGACACCACTGAATTGTGCATGTAGATGGCATCATCTTGCGATTGTCCAGCTTTTGTTGGACAATGGCGCTGATTTGGAAGCAAGGAGCAAGAATAATGGATGGACGCCACTGGATTTGGCCTCGTGCAAGAAAGCATGGGAAGGAACACGGCTTCTGTTGGATCGAGGTGCAGATTTGAACGCCAAAAATGACGACGGAAGTGCACCCCTGCACAACGTCTGTCGCAATAATGATCTTGATAGTGTACGGCTTTTCATAGAACGGGGAGTGGAAGTGAACATAATCAATATAGGGAATGAGACGCCATTACGTTTTGCCTGTGAGCATCAAAACTTGGAGATTTTGCGGCTATTATTGAAGGGGGGTGCTAACATCGAGATGAAATTTGACGATGACAACACACATTTGCATTACATTTGCTTCGAAGGATATCTCGAAAGTGCTAGATTCCTATTGGACAATGGTGCCAGCTTGGAAGCAAGGGGATGTTTTGGTCAGACTCCACTGGGCAATGCATGTGCCAATGGACAAATGGAAGTTGTTGGACTGTTGATTGACAGAGGGGCTAATGTTGAAGCAAAAGATAAAGAGGCACATACTCCGTTCATGGTTGCATGTACCTTGGGACAGATAGAGGTCGCAGAGTTTTTGCTCGAGCGACACGCATCTGTGGACGCAACGGATTTAGGAGGATATACTGCATTATTGCATGCATGTAAAAACTACAATGATAAGGTTACGCGTTTCTTGGTCGATGCCGGTGCTAATGTTAATGCAAAGGAGGATGAATGGGGTTGGACACCACTGCATTTCGCAAGTAAAAAGGGCAGTGCCGATATTGTGCGATTGTTACTGGATAGCGGTGCGGATATGGAATCACAAGGACGAGACAAATTCACCCCTTTGCACACAGCTTGTGGGTTTGGTAATTTCGCAGTTGTCCGACTCCTCTTGGACAGCAATGCAAATTTGGAAGCTCGGACTGCTGTTGGGTGTACCCCACTGCATCTCGCATGTGCATATGCAAGCCTGAAAATTGTGCGTTTGTTGTTGGATCGAGGGGCGAATGTCCAGGCCACGACAGCGGGCGGCATGACCCCTTTAGTACTTGCAGCTGCACATGGTTCACATCAAGTCGTTTCGATGTTGCTACAACATTCTCCCTGGCTGATCATAGGTAGTCCCAACGATCAAGTGGCTTCACGAATTTAGCTTGAACAAGACGGTTCAAACATTTCTGAGTATAAAACTACAGTAAAGTCTCGAAAACTTCACCTGCTGCTATCATTTTAACACATCCGTTGCTTCTTCGGCTTTTTCTGTACTTCGACGATGCTTTGTCGACCCAGAACCAGCCATGGGTGTCGAGAAAGCAGCAACCAGACGACCTGGAAATGATTCTTGGAGCATGCAAGTTCCAGTGCTGTCATTTTGGTATTCGTCATTGCCTCCACATCCACACCTCGATCCAATAGGAGGCTTACGACCTCTGGATAGCCATCCATACATGCCCAATGCAGTGAAGTCTGATCTTTGTCATTTGTTGCATTCATATCCGCACCTCGATCCAATAACAGCTGGGCAACATCAGGACGCTTACTGCTGCATGCATAATGCAATGGTGTACCGCCCTCACCGTCCGTGGTGTTCATATCTGCACCTCCATCTAAAAGGACTTGGGAGACGGCGGAATCACTGTTGAAACAGGCGAATAACAATGGCGTATATCCGTCACTATTCTTTTCTTCCAGAGAAGCGCCTTGACGCAATAAAAACTCAGCACTCTTCGGTGCAGAATCTTCACATGTAGAATGCAATGGTGTATTGCCCTCGTTATCCTTAGTGTTCACATCGGCACCGCTGTCTAACAAAAGTTGGGCCATTTTTAAACGACCATTTGAAAATGCCAAATGAAATGGCGTCAACCCATCATAATTCTTTGCTTCCAGAGCGGCACCTCGAAGTAGCAAAAAACGCGCAAGGTCACGTGCACCGTTTTCACATGCCGAATGCAACGCCGTATTTCCTGAGGAGCCTTTTGCGTTGATATCGGCACCTCGAGCCAACAACAACCGCGCGACCTGTAAATGACCATTGTCACATGCCACATTGAATGCAGTTCCTCCTTCATGTAACCCATGGCTGTCGTAATTGACATCAATGTCCCCACTGTCCAGAAATTCAGCGATGCGGGAACTGTTGCCTCCTTCAGCAGCCTCGATGAATAATTCAAACAAGTCTTCCATTTTCCCACTAAAAGGATAGGCAAAAGCAAAAGTGCAAAAACTTCGAAAGCTTGGCGGCTTCTTTGTATTCGCCCTTGTTGAATAATAATAATGATGATGATGCCTATCTGAGATAGCCTACTGGCGCCTTCCGCTTGGTGTTCGTCTTGGATCTGTCTGCATGGAGGGAGTCTGACCGGGAACGGCCGGGAAACAGAAATATAGCATACAATTCTTGGGAGTAAATATTGATTTTCCCGGCCGTCCCGGTGGGTTGTGGTGTGAAGCGGGTCTTCCGGGTCAATAGGGGGACCCGGAAGACCAATCTCAGGAATCCCGTAAACAGGATTTCTGAGACCTGCTTGCCTACTGGGCACCATCGCCACATAGAAGAAAGGCGATGGTGCCCAACAGGGTGGGTGATGGTGGGAAAGAAAAATGAATTGATACTGATAATAGACGTATCAAAATCAAACCACTGTAATAAACTGAGCTGTCCTTGACTCTCTATCGTAGTAGGAGGGCAGTGACTATTGGCAAAGGCCGTACGGCCTTCGACCGTATGCCGACTGTAGTCAATGGGATCGAACTTTTGCTACGGTCTACGTTTGACAATATTTTCAATTTTAAAAATTTGCAGTTGTTGCTTCCCCGCTATTAGTCTCCCCCAATATTAAATGAACACACTCCACCCCGCCCCCATTCCGACTTGAAGGCTTAATTTATCATTCATTCGACTGTTCTCTTTCACAACAGACAATACATGCAGCAAGGTACTACCCAAATATTTACATTTGTACTACGCTAATGACGGAATAGGAAGTAGTCCACCTATCTCACCTTCGTAGCAAATCCTGACAATGATAACACAATAGGCAGCTTGGTCGCCACCACGACTGTGGTCTTTCTCAACAGAAATAAGCAAGCCACATCTCCTAAACTACGCCAGATCGACAACGCTTGGACGACCCAGAACCGGCCATGGAAATCGAGACAGCAACAACCAGATGCTGTCATTTTGTCCTTCCTCTTTGCTGGCGCCTCCGTCCAACAAAATTCGTCATTGGCTTCTGTATTTGCGTGCCTTTCCAATAGCAGATTTACAATCTCCGGACATCCTTGTCTGCAAGCATGATGTAAAGCTGTGTATCCGTCTTCACATTTAGTCTCTGTGTTGGCACCATTAACATATTACTATATCAGCAGGAGAATGGGTGCAAGGTAGTATACTACTAGAGGACTATCATGTATATTCTTGAAAAGTCAAAGTTACTTTTTCCATCGATCATTCGAACTGCTGCTTTGTTCTGACGATGGAGAAGATGCACCAGTTAGCGAATACAAACTTTAGTGTTCTTGCTATCTCTTCTTGTTGTTCAATGTGTGCCAATAAGCGTGCGAGCTACAGTAGCTCTTCTGCAAAAGTGTATTGTTCGCCTTAGTCGCGAATCAACGGAGAGCGGAGAAAGAGAGAATAGCCATGTAGGCGTGTCGCGTATGCGGAACAACCCGCTACTGTATTCTGCTGCCAAGAAGAAGGTTCTGAATGCAGAATGCCCATACTCCACAATGCCCATACTCCACAATGCCGCAAGAAGAGGGGACTGGGCCCTTGTCAATAGTTTGCTGCGGACGGGTGCCGACGTCGATGAAATGCAAAAATATGAAGAAGTGACCGCATTGCATGTTGCCTGTCGCGCTGGGCATTTGAAAGTTGCACGGCTATTGTTAGACCGAGGCGCTGATGTGAATGTAACCAGCCCTGATAGTTGGGCACCCTTGTATTCTGCTTGTGGTAGCCGTCATCTTGAGATTGTCCAACTTTTGTTGGACTATGGTGCTGACATGGAAGCAAGGGCTTACGATGGCCGCACGCCATTGGCTTGGGGCTTGGATGATGACGCGTGGGAGGGAACGCGGCTTCTGTTGGATCGAGGAGCAGATTTGAATGTCAAAGATAACAACGGAAATACACCCCTACACAACGTATGTCGCAATAATTTTCTTGATAGTGTAAGGCTTTTCGTAGAACGGGGAGCGGACGTGAATGCAGCGAATCAAGACAACCAAACGCCATTGCATGTTGCCTGCGAGCATCAAAACTCGGAAATTATGCGGCTTCTGTTGGATCAAGGAGCAGATTTAAACGTCAAAGATGACCACGGAACTACACCCCTAGACAACCTCTGTAGCAATAATTTTCTTGACGGTGTACGGCTTTTTGTAGAACGGGGAGCGGACGTGAATGCCGTTGATGCAGACAGCCAAACGCCATTGCATGTTGCATGCGAGCATCAAAACTCGGAGATTATGCGGCTTCTGTTGGATCGAGGAGCAGATTTGAACGTCAAAGATGACCACGGAAATACAGCCCTACACAACCTCTGTCGCAATAATTTTCTTGACGGTGTAGGGCTTTTAGTAGAACGGGGAGCGGACGTGAATGCAGCGAATCAAGACAACCAAACGCCATTGCATGTTGCCTGCGAGCATCAAAACTCGGAGATTATGCGGCTTCTGTTGGATCGAGGAGCAGATTTGAACGTCAAAGATGACGACGGAAGTACAGCCCTACATAGCCTCTGTCGCAATAATTTTCTTGACGGTGTACGGCTTTTCATAGAACGGGGAGCGGACGTGAATGCAACGAATGAAAGCAGCCAAACGCCATTGTATTTTGCCTGTGAGAATCAAAACTTGGAGATTATGAGGCTGCTATTAGCAAGTGGTGCAAATATGGAGACATGTGCTGATGAGTCTGTGACCCTGTTGCATCACGTTTGCGGCCAAGGATATCTCGAAAGTGCTAGATTCCTATTAGACAATGGTGCCAACTTTGAAACAAGGAATAGTTGTAATGAGACCCCAATCGTGATTGCATGCGAGAATGGACAAGTGGAAGTTGTTAGACTGTTGATTGATAGAGGGGCCAATGCTGAAGCAAAAAGTTATTCGGGAGATATCCCGTTCATGTCTGCATGTAGGTGTGGACAAATAGAAGTTGCAGAGCTTTTGCTCGATCGACACGCAGATGTGAATGCAAAGGATTTAAAAGGTTATACTTCATTACTGCATGCATCTAAACGCTGCAATGACAAGGTTGCGCGATTCTTGATCAATGCCGGTGCTAATGTTAATGCAAAGGAGGAGAAATGGGATTCGACACCGCTGCATTTCGCAAGTAAAAAGGGCAGTGCCGATATTGTGCGATTGTTACTGGATAGCGGTGCGGATATGGAATCACAAGGACGAGACAAATTCACCCCTTTGCACACAGCTTGTGGGTTTGGTAATTTCGCAGTTGTCCGACTCCTCTTGGACAGCAATGCAAATTTGGAAGCTCGGACTGCTGTTGGGTGTACCCCACTGCATCTCGCATGTGCATATGCAAGCTCGAAAATTGTGCGGTTGTTGTTGGATCGAGGGGCAAATACGGAAGCCAGGACGGGGTGCGGCACGACTCCTTTAATCATTGCAGCTGGAGGGCAACATCATCAGATCGTTTGGCTATTGATACAACGCTCGCCGTGGTTGATAATGGGTAGCCCCGACGGCCAAGTGACTTCACAAATGTAGCTTTAACAATAGGTTTCGGATTTTTCTGTCCATAAAATTCGACTCTTTGAAAACTTCACAAGCTGCTAGCATCAACATATCCGTTGCTTCTTCGTCTTCTTCTTCTTCTGTGCTTCGACAACGTTTGGTCGACCTAGAACTAGCCATGGAAAACGAGATAGCAACAACCAGACGACCTGGAAATGATTATTGTAGCATGAGAGATGGAGTGCTGTCATTTTATCCTTCCTCTTGGCTTCCACATTCACACCTCGATCCAATAGGAGGATCACAGCTTCTGAATAACCATGCTGGCATGCAATATGTAGAGGCGTGGTGTCGTCATTGTCCTTTACGCCCGCGTTTGCACCTTGGTCTAGCAATACCTTTACAACCGCAGCGTCTCCACCGTAGCACGCATAAAAAATCGGAGTCTGATTCCCCCCATCCATCGCTTCCAAGTTGGCGCCTCCGTCCAACAAGATTTTAGCGACATCTGAATGACCAGATTCACATGCAGTACAAAGTGGTGTTATTCCCTCTTCGTCTGTGGCTTCTGTGTTTGCATGCCTTTCCAATAACAGTTTTACAATCGCCGAATGTCCTTCTCTACAAGCAGAATGTAGAGGTGTATACCCATCTTCATTTTTTGTCTCTTTGTTGGCACCATGGTCAAGCAAAAGTCGAGAAATGGCCAAAAACGATTTCTGGCACGCGCAATGCAACGGTGTTTGTTGTCCATCATTTGTTGCATGCACATCCGCACCTCGATCCAAGAACAGCCGTACCAAATTAGAATTCCACAATACATGCAATGCTGTATTTCCATCATTGTCCTTGGTGTTTATATCGGCGCCTTGATCTAACAACAATTCGATCAATTCCGAATCACAGCTGGAACAAGCAATTCCCAATGGTGTCAATCCATAACGACGATTCTTTTTTTCCATAGCCGCGCCTCGACTTGACAAAAAACGAACAATTCGAAATGAAGCGATTTCACATGCTAGATGCAATGGCGTATCCCCGTTGTCGTCTTCTTTGCTAATATCAGCACCTCGATTCACCAGCACCTTTGCCACCTGCAAATGATCATTGTTGCATGCCACATGCAACGCAGTCCTTCGTCCATCCATGGCCGGGTGTCTCAAATTGATATCAATTTCACCACTGTCAAGATATCGATTGACACCGAGAACGTCGCCTACACTAGCCGACTCGTAGAATAATTCAAAGGTTTCCAACATTTTTTCACTCAGAATGTATGGATACCTACGGATAAAATATTACGATTATGCACGAGCAAAAGTGCAGATATGATGCAGCTCCAGAAACAAGAAATGAAAATATATTGAACTTGAAACTGTCAAATTACTGTGCTGTATTGTTCGCGTTAGTCGGCTTGACAACGGAAAGTGCAGATGTGAGAATAGAGTATAGGAGTAAAGACAAATGCATTTATTCTGTGACACACAGTTTTTTATAGGACACAAACATGATGCTTGTGGATGGAGAGTAATAGGTAGCACCAAAGTTATTGCCTTTGATTGACGTACCGTGAATTGTTACCGTATGCGATATGCGACAACACTACAAAATATTTCTACCGGTACTGTAGGGTACACATTCGTTATATCTGAAAACTTTCGTAAACGGTCGAAATGGATTCATATTGACTCTATGAACGACGGTCAGGCGACCATCTCCGCAGTATTATTGCACCATATTACGATCTCCTATATATACTAGCAAGTTGAAAGTATGCTGACAGAAAGATAGAGTTATTTCTTTCTTTCCCATTCCACCACACCCTGCTACAACTATCTATAGTTGTAATATACAGTATATTACTACAATGAATATGTCGTATCGTACCTAAAGTCTACTATGCTTTTATTGCCCGTGTCTTTGGTAAGACTCCTTTCGAGCTTGCCTTTGGAGAGTTTGCTGTTGATGTCGTATGGCTGTTGCTACAACGTTTCCCGTTGCTGATACTCGGGCAGACTTGAATTTCAAGTGAGGTTTCATAAGATTTATTCAAGACTATGCTTTGGATATCTTTGAATGGAACAGTACAGCACGGCATCGTGAAAAAGAAGTCTACTAGTTTACAGGGACTGAATGATCCCCAAAGTTTGATACTCTTTCCTAGAGCAGATATACTTTTTCTCCGATGTGGTCTCTAATGTATGACAGATTTGGAGCTCTACTGCCATAGCTAGAGAATGGAATTCCATTCGCAGAGTTTGGTGACGGTTCCCTTTCTCGACATTCGTCTTGCAGCGACGCTCGATAGGGCCGATTCACTTGCAAGAAGTGTTGAAGTCTTTTCGATAGGTTCTGTTGCAGTGTACGCTCCTACCGCTGGTGATGCCTTCTCCTTTTGGTCACCAGTGTCATAATCCTTCTGGATCTCTTCCAAAAGCTCCAAGACTGCACTCAGGCGCCTGGTGTTGGAAGGCCCGGTCGGATTTGCAATCATTGTCAGGAGGCGTTTCTTGGCGTTCATGGTGTGCGTTTTGTAATAGCACCGGATGCGATCTCGAAGGAGTTTGTCCGTCCAGTACGAATCAAATGTCAAGCCATGTGTTTGGGCAGCTTGTTTGATCAACTGTACCAATCCATCGTTGAACTTTACCTGTCCAGCTGTTTGGCTTTCGTGAAGAGATAGACTGTAGAAGTTTTTCATGTTTTCTGTAAGCACTGTGGTTATGGAATTTGAAAGAGTGCCACTGTTAGCCACGAGTATCAAAATGAACGAATGACGATGATATGAAGCAACAATCAATCAATCAGTCATGACTCCTTCTTACCAGCCTCCAATGGTGGATAGTGGACCCAAACGAATTTTTTGGGTATCACACTATTCTTTGGTGGCCATGTGTTGGGAGCCGATCGAGGACTTTCCCAGACAAGTGCCATCTTTTGTAGCAATGCTTTTGTTTTTCCTGGATCTTCTTCCATGAGTTGTTCGGCCATATTGGCAGCTTTCTTGGCTTTTTCTTGGGCATCGATTGTGGCTTGGCGCTCCTCTTGTTTTGGAGGGGCTGCTTCGATTGGTTTTGCTTTGGAATGCTTGCCTTTGGACTGGTTGGGCCTTTTGACTGGTAGCTTGCGTCTTGGTTTCTTTGATGGCTGCTTGTTCTTGGTTGTGCGGCGGCCCTTTTTCGACTTTCCATTGAGTGTAGAGACGGTCGTTTCTCGTACCGCCTGATTTGATGCCCGACGTCTTTTGACAGAATCATAGAGTGTACTTTGTTCCAAAATACTCGATTCCTCTTGCATCGGCTCTTGTTGCTCTCCTGGCTCGAGCTGATCGTCGCCACGGAGCTTGAGCTCTTGAGCATATGCCTGCAAACAATGGGCATTTACTCGTCCTGCTTGTGGCTGAAACATTCTTGTGAATGTTGAAAATGGAAAGCAATTGCTCGTTGCTGTAGAATGAAAGTGGGTTTGACTGCTTGATATCCGAGGATGGAGATCGGAACAGAAAACAATGATGATGTTGCTTCGAATTTTGGTTGAAATCTGCCTCCGCGAGCCAAATTTGAAACCAATGTTGGTCGTATCAGTCGTTTGAAATGGGGTTTTGTGAATGAATACGAATGTGAGTCACGGGGAGATAAAAGCGGGGAATTTCATGAATCTTTCCAATGATCAATCTCGCCCTCAACGTCTCAATCACAGCGCGTGTGCGGTGCAAGCAATCATCAAAAGGCAACCGTCGTACTATACTGGTGGGTATCGATTATAGGAACTATACCGCACCTGGTACTTGCATCACATTTAAAAGATTGCATTCCAAGCTTTTACACTTTGCTTTTCGGATCCATCATTCTGACTGAAAATGCGAAGCAATGACCCGTATGTTTCATTCACCGCAGCTGTTAAGCAGGGCACCCTTTGGCGTATCAATGAATTGCTGGATAATGGTAGAGTTGACGTCAATCTCAGCCACCCTGCGATGGGTAACGGAAAGACTGCATTGCATGTGGCATCTGAAAATCACCAGTCAGGGGTTGCGCTGCTGCTGTTGGATCGAGGAGCCGATATTACTGCCATGGACGACTCGGGAAATACGGCGTTGCATTTATGTACACCTGCAATTGCTCGGCTCTTATTACGCCGAGGCGCTTTTATAGAAGAAAAGAATGACGATGGATTGACGCCGTTGTTATTGGCCTGTAAACAGTGGAATGTGCACATGTACAATTTCTTTCTTGATGAAGGTGCGGATGTGAACATGAAGGACAACGAGGGCAATGCACCATTGCACTATGCATGCAGCGGAAATCGTACTGACGGTGCACAGATATTCTTAAATCGAGGTGCGGATATGAATGCAACCAATAGAACAAATCTGACACCACTGCATCATGCATGTCAACATGGTTGTTCAACTGTCGTAAGCCTCCTGTTGGATAGAGGTGTGGATGTGGAAGCAAAGACGATAAACAAAATGACAGCATTGGATCTTGCATGTCACAATAATCATTTTCAAGTCGTCTGGCTGTTGATATCTCGATTTCCATGGCTTGTTCTTGGTCGACCGAGCCCTGCTGCTGCCGAAACACAGAAGAAGAAGAAGCAACGGCTTTGCTGACGATAACAGGTGGTGTAGTTTTGAATCCGTGGATTGCTTATTCCTTTCGGGGGAGAAGGGGCGGCCCATCTGTCTCGTGTTCAGCAGTGACAGGATCTGGTATTGCAGATGTTTCGATGCTGAGGTAGATTGACTATACTGCCTTGTCCTCCATTAGCATAGTACATGTAATATATTTTTAAAAATATATCAGTGTAAGACCCTACGATACTGCAATGAGTATTCCTAGTTTTGCTGCACTCGTGTCTATTGCAGCTCTTGTTTGATTTCCGCTAGGATGGCGATCAGAAAACACAAAAGCAATAATGATGCTTTGTCTCCACAATGAAATCTGCAGTGTGATGATTTCAGTCGTATCAGTCAGTTTAGAATGGGGTATAGGGTATAGGTGCGCCTGATCACGGGGAGATAGGCGGGGGAATTGAGGAAGAATCTTGGCAGAAATATCAATCTACAGTATGATAACGTCAATCTACCGGTATTAGCGCACGCCACGATAGTCGGAATGGGGGCGAGTTGTCGGGGATGCCGAATAGCGGGGAGCAACACATCGTATGTTCGTAATTCTTATGATTTCACATCATCATATATATCTGCTCTTGCTGCTTGTAACTGTTCCTTACGGCACCATCATTCAAGAGAGCGCATACAAAGAACCCGCCAAATTTCGCACGTTTGCACTTTTACTTTTGCGTATCCATTCTGCGTGAAAATGGAAGCCTTGTTTGAATTATTCTTCGAGGCTGCCAAGGGAGGCGACAGATTCCGTATCAAAGAATTTCTGGACAGTGGTGACATAGATGTCAATTACAACAGCTATAGGGTTCATGAAGGAGGGACTGCATTCAATGCGGCATGCGCCCATGGTCATTTACAGGTTGCGCGGTTGTTGTTGGCTCGAGGTGCCGATATCAATGCAAAAGATCGCTCAGGAAATACGGCCTTGCATTCGGCATGTTATGACGGTGCACGTCAGACTGCTCGTTTTTTGATACGCCGGGGTGCTTCATTAGAAGAGAAGAATGATGATAGATCTACGCCATTGCATTTGGCCTTTTCCAACCATCCGTATGAAATGGCCCAACTTTTGTTAGACAACGGTGCCGATGTGAACACCAAGGATAACAAGGGCAATACACCATTGCATACCATATGCGAAGGTTCTGCACCTAGATGGGTTCAGAGTCTGTTGTGCCAAGGTGCTTCTCTGGAAGAAAAGAATCGTGACGGATTTACGCCATTGCAAATCGCCTGTTTCAATGGTGATTTCGCCGTGTCCCAAGTCCTTTTAGAAATCGGCGCGGATCTGAACATCACGGACGGTGAGGGCGGTACACCATTGCATTATGCATGCAGCAATGAGCGTCCTGATATTGCACAGCTGTTATTGGATCGAGGTGCGGACGTGAATGCAACGGGTGACACAGATCAGACACCACTGCATCATGCATGTCAACATGGTTGTTCAGAGGTCGTCAGCCTCCTGTTGGATAGAGGTGTGGATGTAGAAGCAAAGACGAAGAACAAAATGACAGCCCTGGATCTCGCATGCTACCATAATCATTTTCAAGTCGTCTGGTTGTTAATATCTCGATGTCCATGGCTACTTCTGGATCGATTAAGCCTTGTTGCCGAAACCCGGGAGAAAAAGAAGCCACGGCTCTGTTGACGGTAGCGTCTGGTGTAATTTAGGAGACTTGGATTGCTTTTCTCTCTTGAAAAAGACAGAAACGACCAAGTTGTTTTGTTTTCAATAAAAGTACAAGATCTGTTAGATGATTAGTGTAGTAAAAATATAAAATACAGTATTGGCATTCTTTAAAATCGGCTGAGTCGCTCTATATGGTAACAGCTGCCTCGGCATCGCTTTTCCCAGATTTCTTGACAGGACTTTTTTGTGAATGGTCTTCGTCGTTATCGTCGTCGTCTGATAAGGTCTGTTCCTCCTCACCACCCTTTTCTTGCTTTCGCTTGTTGTCCCGAAATCGTTTCGAGCGAATCCGACCCAACTCTCGTTGTCGCTCCTTTTTTTCCGCATCCGTCTCTTGCTTTAGTTTGTCACGATGCCGTTGCGATCGAGCTCGTTGTAGTTCTCGTTGTCGCTCCTTCTTTTTTTCTTCAGATAGTTCTTGTTGGACGGGAGTAGAATTGTCTTGTTTTTGCTTTTTGGCACGAGGAGTTGGGGAGACTTTCCGTTCTGTTTGCTTCTTCTCTTCGTCTGCGAGCTTGGGGTTTCCAGCAGTACTCTCACTGGAGGCGGCTGGCTTTGTAGTCTCTTGTGATGGTTCCGCCGTGTCGTCGTTGTCGTTGTCTTCTTCTTCTTCTTGTTGCTGTTCCGTCCGAGCCCGTTTCGCTGGTAGAGTAATGCCCTGCTGTTCTTCCTGCTTCTTCCGTTTTTGGTTGTCTCGAAAACGCTGGGAACGACTTTTATTCAGCTCCCGTTGATGTTCCCTCTTGGCCTTTTCTGCTTCATCCTTGGTATCTTGCTTTTGCTTGTCACGATGACGTTGGGACCGAATTCGTTGGAGCTCTCGATGCCGTTCCTTCTTTTCTTCTTCCGTCAGCTTGGGTTTTGCCGCCACCACCTCACCACTAATTTTCGCTTTGTACTGTTTGGCTCGAAACCGTTGCATTCGAATCCGTCCCTGTTCACGCTGTCGTTGTTTTTTTTCTTCTTCTGTGAGCGTGGGCTTATCGGGCATAGAATAAGGATCGGTCGCGGCAGAAGCGGAATCATCATTCCCATCATCCTTGGATGATGATTCGTCTTCGGTTCTTGCACGCTTGGCGGCTGGAGGATCACCACCCTGTTCCTCTTGCGTTTCGCGATTTTGTTCATTGTCTCGAGATCGTTCGGAACGAATGCGATCTAGTTCTCGGTGTCGCTCCTTTTCCTCTTTTTGCCTGGCACGAAAGCGTTTCATTCGAATGCGGCCTAGTTCTCGTTGACGTTCCTTCTTTTCTTCATCGGTCAAGCTGAGCTTGCTGGCAGCGGAAGTGGCAGAAGCAGTCTCGTCCTCTGGATCATTATTGTTATTTTGATTATTATTCTTTTGTCCTCCTTCCTCCCTAGCTTGGTCTTGCTTTTTCAATTGCTTTTGTCGATCACGAAATCGTTTGGACCGAAGCCGACCCAGTTCCCGTTGGCGTTCTCTCTTTTCCTCTTCGGTCAAGATTGGTTTTTTGGTATCGTCATCACTGTCATTTCCATCATCATTCGTTCCTTGCTTTTGCTGTTTCTTGGCTTCGTCTAGCTTTTGTTTGTCCCGAAATCGCTGCATGCGAACTCGAGCCAGTTCTCTTTGACGTTGTTTCTTCTCGTCATCCGTCTCTTGTTTCTGTTTGTCTCGATACCGTTGGGATCTCATTCGACCAAGATCTCGTTGGTGTTCCTGCTTTTTCTCTTCCGTGATTGGCTTCTTGTTTGTAGTTGTATTCGTATCATCCTCTTCATCGTGATCATCATCATTATTATTATTATTATTATTGTCGTTCTCGTTGTTCGATGTCAAGGAGGCTGCAGTAGGCTTGAAGGCTTCTCCTCCAGGTGACATTTTGCAAGGGTATTGGCATGCAATCAAGCTAGAGTATGGAACGATGATTAGTATGTGCTTGTGCTCGATATGGAACGGATGGGATTGAGTCGATATTTGTGTGTTTTCTCACACCGACGTGCAGTATAATATGATGGATGTAATGAATTATTAATAATTGCGGCGCAATACTGTAATATTTTATTATACTTTAGTATCACGATCGTGACGGCAACGTTTTGTGGTGTTACGTTGCTGCGTGGTGTCAACCAAAATTTTACTCGGAGGAGTCCAACCAGGAGGCACGGACAGACTCTAGGCGGACACACTGACAGACCATAGCCATCCAAACCGAAAAATGAACGACGATCAGAAGAATATGAAAGATCACAACAAACATTCACTCGTCCCAAAGCCAAACGTGTGTCTCATCACAACCAACCAAATCTCGTTTATTTCCTCATTACATGCATTCATTCCTAGTCCAATAATCCAATAATCCAATATACGCAATACACACACACACACACACACTCACACACACATACCACAGATCAGTGCAAATAATACACATATACATCAACAACAACAAATAATATAATGGCTTCGATATTCTTGCCACCCGACCAGACTCGTCTGGTGACGATTGCCGCCCACGTCGATCACGGCAAGACGACCTTGGCGGACAGTCTGATTGAAAGCAATGGGATCATTAGCGAACGATTGGCGGGGACCTTGAGATATCTCGACTTTTTGGACGAAGAACGACGGCGTGGGATTACCATGCGGGCGTCGGCGATTGGACTCAAGCATCGGTATCTGTCGCCCACCAAAAAGCAAGACTCCTCGACGCAAAAGGCACCCTTTTTGGATTTGGTCGTTCATCTGTTGGATTCGCCCGGTCACACGGATTTTTCGACCGAAGTTTCTTCGTCCTTGCAATGTTGCGATGGTTGCTTGTTGGTGATTGATGCTGTGGAAGGAGTTTGTGCGAGAACCCATCAAGTGATTCGAGAGGCTCATTTGCACGAGTTGGTACCAATTTTGGTCATCAACAAGGTTGATCGACTGTGTACTGGCCTATGTCTGACACCGACAGAAGCCTATTTGAGATTGCGAGGATTGATTGAAACTGTCAATGCAACCTGTGCGGCCATGCTCAATTCGAAACAAGCCGAAGACAAACAGGATGTGACAAACAACAACAACAACAAAAACAGCAACAACAACAACAACAATAATAATAATTCTGATACACCAATGACACCGGAAGAAGAACATTGGACCTTTGAACCATCCAAAGGAAACGTGGTCTTTGCGAGTGCCTTGTATGGTTGGGGATTTACAGTTCCGTCTCTGGCACGATCGTTGTTTCGGTCCAAAACAGTATCAATAAAACCAGTTGCTTTGAAGCAGTGTCTGTTTGGGGATTTCAAATGCAAGGAGGGAGACAAAAAAGTACTCAAGTGGAAACATGATTCTTCCGACGATCCGCTCTTTGCACAATATGCCTTGCAGCCAATTTGGGAAATCTACGAAGGGGTTGCGACCGCAGCTGTATCCGCTGGAATTGGGACCTCTTTGTTTGCCGATGGCCGCATCCTTTCCAACAACAACAACAACAACAACACATCGGCAGGGAAACAACCATCCAAAATCAAGGCGGATACACCGGGTATGGATCAAGTCTTGGAGATTGCCCAGATTGGAAGTACGAGCAAAGGCACGGGGACTCCAATGCCCTCCACTTACCAAGAAATGGATGCCGTTTTGGCAAAGATTGGAGCTTCCTCGGAAGAAGCTGTGCTTAGGTTGATTATGCGAAGGTATCGGCCCTTGAGTAATACTGTTTTGGATGCTGTGTATGAAATCTTGCCCTCGCCCGCCATGGCCGCCAGCAAGGTTCGTTCGCGAGCATTGGCATTGGCCAATCCAAAAATGGAACAAGAAGGAATGGAACCCAATCCTACCGCCACCACGGCGTTGCAAGAGATTCGATCGGCGGTCGAGGCCTGCAATGCTTCGGTAGATGTGCCTGCAGTAGCCCACATTTGTAAATTCATGGCGGTCGATCGGAGCGTCATTCGGGATCCACAACTGGGAGATGAGGAAAAGAGTGTCATTTTGGGCTTGTCGCGTGTATTGAGTGGTACCCTCAAGACAGGATCGGACTACTATGTCATGGGACCCAAACATGCCAAGAATGTTTCTTCGGAAGAGCAAAAACGACAAATTCGATTGTATCTCTTAATGGGATCCTCCTTTTTACTTGTGAAGGAAGTTCCTGCCGGTCATTTGTGTGCCATTCAGAATTTGGATGACCTACAACTCAAGACGGCTACCATATGTGAGAGTCCATACGGGATGCCACTGCAAGGATTTGATAGTGGGATCCGTCCCTTGGTCAAGGTCAATGTGGAATCGGTGGATCCGGCAGATACCTATGTGTTGGAACATGGTTTGGTCAAACTCAGTTCGGCGGATTCGGCCGTGGAAATTACGGCGACTGCCAAGGGAGAACGAATTCTGGCGTGTCTGGGAGAGATCCACCTGGAACAATCCATTTTGGATTTAAAGAATATCTACTGCGAGAGGAATATTGAATTGCGAATATCCGACCCCATTGTGGAATTTGGAGAGACGACTACTTGGTTTGAGGATGAATTGGATTTTGGAAACTTTTTGGAGCGATCATCTGCCCCACTACGACAATCGACCATTCCACCTTACAATGAAGAAGAAGGCTTGGAGTTTGCCTTGCACGGGCGATCACGGGCCATCTTGTCGGGACGAGCGGCAGCAATAAGTCTTCGTGTTGTCCCTTTACCAAATTCAATCTACGTGGCACTGCAGTCGAAAAAGCTAGTGGAGGAAGAATGCAAGGATGATTTGCTGGTCATGGCAAAGGCGCTGGGGTTAAATGGTGCCAACATGGATCCGTCTGCCATATTTGAAGCGTTGAGTCAATCACTCTGTACGAGTGATGAATCTGGCAATGCTCTTGTTGAGAGCAAGGCGCTCATTGCTGGGGATACAATCAAGGCCGTTGTCTCGGATGCCGGAGAGATTCATGTCGCAAAAAAAGACGTCCTTGTTTCCCCAGAGGAAGAGCCCACTGTGGCACCAGATACTCCAGCTACCCAAGCCTTCAAGGAAGTTAGTTCACAAATTCGCAAGCTTGGCTTTGAGGCAAGTTCAAATCCAATTGAGATGGATTCGAATGATTCTGGTGCTGTGGAGATGTGGAAAAAACAGATGCGTCATTCAGCGATAGCTGGATTCCAAATGGCGGTGCGGGCTGGGCCAATCTGCGAAGAACCAGTTCGTGGTATCCTGGTGGTCATTGAAGGTGTCGAAGTTGCTCTGACAAAATCACCAGATGACGAATCCTACAAACCAGCCAAACTGATGACTAGTGGTATGGTAGCATCTGCAATTCGATCGGGTATTCGTGGAGCTTTGCTCACTCGACCATCGAGGCTCTTGGAGAGGCATTTCCGATTGACCCTGCATTCGTCCTTGGAAGCGTTAGGGTCGCTATATTCGGTGCTATCGCGAAGACGTGGAAAGGTGTTGAATGACTCCATGGTAGATGGAACTGATCTACTTGAAATATCTGCAGCTTTGCCTCATGCCGAATCCTTTGGTCTCGCACCAGAACTCTTTCGTCAATCCAGCGGACAAGTCACAGCACCCGAGCTTGTGTTTTCTCATTGGGAAAGATTGGACGAAGACCCATTTTGGGTTCCCACCTCATTGGAAGAGCGCGAGGACTTTGGGGAAAACCTCCAGAACGGTGACATCTCAACAGGAATGAGCAACATAGCTCTGAACTACATTCGAAAAGTCCGGGCGCGGAAAGGGCTGGTGGTAGATTCAATTAGAACAGTTGAGGCAGCTGAAAAGCAAAGGACTATGAAGAGATAATTGCGTCCGTCGGGACGAATTCGATCACGTCCCATGAGATACTAGAGCTAGTGCAGGCATTCAGTTTTGAACAAAATGTTAGGGCGAGGATACGAAAATTTCGCCTCTCGTCGCTTTTGTACTAGACCGCTGCAACCACAGCCAGAAATGAAAATTTCAGTCTCAAACGAATGTGACAGTACTCGTTTTATCCATCCATACTGTAATATTAATCACTGTCGATTTCGATGATTTCAATTTCCTGTGTCGAAGGCCTTGGCCTCAGCTCGCTAGGTGACTGTTTTGGTTGCACTCCAGATCCATCCCCTCCGCCACTGACACTGCTTTGGCGTTTAATTGCCGTGTGGCGCAACCTATCTTCGGGCAATAGTTCATAAGACTCGTCCACTCGATATTCTACCCGACCTCGATTGGGAGTCACCTGGTCTTTGAATTTCTCCAAGGCGGCCTCGGTAAGGGCGCATAATTGCAATTCGTTATAGCTCAAGAATTGCTCGCAGCAGGGACATCGCCAGCGGCTGCCGTATACTGTAATGTTACTCTTCATGAAGGTTTCCAGGTCAAAGCACTATAATCGCAAAGTAGCATTAGACTCCATAGTTGAATCAGCAATCAAGTCTTCGTTTCAATTTCTTACCTGCCAGTGCTTGCACTTCTTTCCTCTCACAGGGATCTTCATCGCTCCCTTGTTGACCGGATCAATGAGGGAGAAGACGAACTTTCCAACAACACCACCACTTTTTGCTGCGTTACCATCGTCGTCATCCAAGACAATCGCCTGTTGATTGATCAGCTCTTTCGCAATTTTCTTACTCGCTGGCAAAGAAAGACGCTGCACCTTGTGGTGGAGGGGTGGCGACTTGCATTCCGGTTCCATACCAAGTAGCTTCCTGACGTGAAATTCCGGAGGCCGATACTGGCACAACTCGAGGGAAACATAATATTGTTCGGGGTCCAAACAGCAAACTTGGATCGTATGATTGGCTAATGGGAATGAGATGACACTACTCAAGTCAAAATGCTTGCACATGAATTTCCATTCAGATTTGTCATGGCTCTGCTGCTTTCGTTGCACCAATGGTTGTACCTTGCCATCTACTACAAGCATAGTCCCTTTGGGCCACAAATGACAATCTGCTCGTTTCTTCTTCATTTTCTCATCGACTTTGACAGGAAGCATTCGTAGCAAAAGCCTGTGCTCCAAGTTTTCTGGATTGTCCCTTGGCGCACCCCATTTCTTGACTTTATCAGCAATGTCGCTCATGTGTTTTCCAAAAAGTATCTTCGACCAAGCTGTCTTTGGTTCGTTCAGATTTGTGCCCATGCCAGTTTGCCATTCGATTGAATCCACCTTTGCCATCATGGTAAGCTCAAATAGCTGCACAGTAGACCAGTATGGTTCCGAACATGCGAATCGCTTCACAACGCTTGGAGTGCCAGGCACATGAGAGTATTTAAAAAAGTTTACAGTGCACTTCGGTCGCTGGAAAAAGCAACCAGTTTTACCCCCTTCGCCCTTGTCAGCAGGAAGGCAAATCTTTGATATCTTTTTGCTGAGTTCCAGCTTTCTCTCGGGGATTTTCTTTTTCTTGGCGAGAGTTGGTTTTTTGTTTTCTTTCGATTTATCACCTGCACCATTTGGAACCATTCCATTTTTCCCCGGTTTATTTGCAGAACTAGCGGCCGTTGAATTGGTCGACGGCTTCATTCCATTTGCTATCGCTGTGGTGGCTGCTGCTGTCGGTGCTGCCGTAGTAGACGCTGTGTTCTGTCCACTAGTTGTCAATTTTCGATTGTCGTTTGCGCTGGTGGTGCTTTGGTTGTTGGCTTGAGGTTGGGCTGCTGCTGGCGGTTGACTGACATTCTGTTGCGGTCGAGTTTGCGACTGACTAGTGGCGGCGGCTGAAGTGGCCGCTGTTCTCAGCGTCGCTGAGCTCCCCGAGTTCGACTGACTTGTTTGTAGGGCTTGGGTTCCTGTCTGTGTTCGACTATTCTTGGATGCACTTTTGGATGCAGACGATGAGTCAACAGTATTCCGTTGATCCGCCGCATTGGAGGTTGGGAACGCTCCTCCCTGTTTCGCCGTAGCCGTGCCATTCCGGTTGGAAAACGCACTCACCTGTCCATTCAATTCGTTGTTGTGCTGTCCCATTGTGGATCCACCAGCAAAGTGCTTTCGCACATCAGTAGGAGGCACATGCGAAGTGCCTGAAGAACTGTAGCTCGTAAAAGGCGAGCCAGTAGCGGTTGCGGTTGTTGGTGGTGTACTTGTGCTACCGAAAGGATTGTGGCTTTGAGAGGAACCAGAGGTGGTTGCAGTTATTGCTCCTGCTCCAGTCGTTCTTGTGCTACCACCAGAGGACGAGTTTCTTTGCATGGCCCAATGTAAAGGAAGACTCACATTGTTATTGTTTGGAGCAGTCGAACCACTGGTAGCCGTGATACTATTGGTCGCTGGTGGTAGTGAACCTGGCCGGGCTGTACTGGTAGTTGCTGCTGCAGTGCCTGTCGCATTTTTTTGCCCAGCAGGAGGCACGGAAGCTGACGCACTTGAAGTTCTGGCGGTTGCTGAAGCGCCTATTGCTGGTACTGCTGGTGCTGCGCCAACAGAGGAAGACTTTCCCTGCAAGGCAGAATGAACAGGTTTTCTGTTGTTCGTCGTACTCGTCGTCAGCAGCTGATGCCTGCTAGTGGTTGTGTTCAAAATAGCACTTTGGTTGTTGCTGTTAACAGAAGGCCGTCTCGTCACGGACAAATGCGTTGATGTGCCATTGGTTGCACTCGGCCGTCTTGTGAGTGTTGCTGCCGTCGTTGTGGTTGTCGTTGAAACGCCAGATGCTCCAGTTGCAGACTTGGTAGTAGTGGCTGCTGTATTATTATTAAAATCGTTCAACAGTGGTGCTATCGCACGAGGGGCAGCCACCGTTGCGGATGGAGTAGACGAAGACCGCCGCCCCAACATTATTGAATGAGTGGCCTGTGCAGAAGTAGTACCCAAGAGGGCTGTTGTAGTTGTAGCACTATATGATGTGCTCGTAGTACCAGTTGCAGTAGTATTGGTTGTTGAGATTGTGCGGCTTTGTTGCTGCATCGCTCGGTGTACTGGCTTAGGATTCCCTGCTAAAGCAGCAGCAGCTCGCGTCGTTCCTGCCGGATTTGGATAATGGGCCAAATTGGTGCCAACAGCACTACCAGCACGAAAGGCAGCTGGTACAATGCTGGATGTCGCTGACAGATTTGCTCGGTCCAAGACGGATCTTGCGGTAGCAATGGTGGACTGGGGATACCTTGACGTTCGATTGAGTTGGACGTCAACCTGATCAAAAGTAGAAGTAATAACGCCCCAGGATTGTCGCCGCCGCGAGGTCGGTTGCGTCTCATCTCCTGCAATTTCCATATGTTCCCAAATTTTATCTTCTAATTGTTCCTTGGGGTCCTTGGGGGACTTATTTCCATTGGAGTCATCAACAACGCTGCTGTCGGGCGCCTGTGGCAGCTGGTTGAGAATAGTCTTTATTTTTGGCGTGTCCAAATTAGCGAAATCTTCTCGTCGCCGATTCATAATCCGAGTCCACCTGGCTTTATCGGCGCCACGAGTGGGATTATCGTTTCCTTCATTAGGCCTTGATCGTTTTGGCATGTTGGCTCCTTTGGCTTTGGTTCAGATGTGGAAACAAGCTATATTGAATATTTGTGGAGGAAAATGACAGCCACTTAATGACAGAATATGTTTCAATGAAGTAGCGAAGAAAGGCAATTCCAAACGCTCCGAAGAGGCTTGATTGTATTCTGTTGTACGATACAATCGAAAATGGCAAGCAAAGGCGCACAGGGTCACGAGATAATAGCAACCTTAATGCTCCTAAGGTGTCCGTCAGTTTTGTTGTTTCTGTGGGCCAAACTGAAAATTCAGAACTCTGCAAACAGGGTCTGTGCTGCGCAGAAATCTGGCGCATTGCAGAGAGCCGTTATTCAACAGTTTTGTGATGGCTCGGTTCGCGAGCAGGCGGTGAAACATCACATCACCCTTCAATCAGAAAAGGATTCTTCGCAATTTTCAAACTCCAGTCGGTGTTTGACACCATTCAGTTTCTTTTGTACAATTCAAATCAGAAAAACCAGGCAAGAAAATGAAACTATTGGTCAGCAGTCTACTCTTGGTATCACTCGTTGACGTTTCGAGGGCTTTCACGCCCATCTGCGCCAAGCACTGGGCTTCGACGAAGGATACGACCATCCTTCTTCCTCACGCCACCGAGACTGATGACGATTGGTATGCTGATTTTAATCCCGATGAATACAAAGATTTGAACGCGGGTTATTCGTCTTCTCCTTCTCCTTCGCGTTCTTCTTATTCTTCATCTTCAGGAGGGGGTGGATATGTGGACCACGATTACCATCGAGATATTGCCGCGGACAACTCCGATGTGGATCTCGATACGGTGAACACTCTTATTGCCGAACGTCTCCAGTTGAGAAAAACTGGAAGATTTGAGGAAGCCGATGCCATGAGAGACCAACTCTTGGAAGAACATGGTGTGACGGTTCGAGACAAGGAAGGGACCTGGCGATCGGGATGCTCTAGCAGAAGAGGAGGAGGTGGTGGTGGAGGACGAGGAAGAGGCAGTGAACGTGGCGGTGACCGTGGCGGCGGTCGCAGACCACCCCAGGATTTCGGACCCAATGGCCATGATTACAACTTGGCAGCAGACGCTGGACCGAATGCATCGACCTTGTCCGAACCAGAAATTCATCAAATGCTGGCAGAACGTCTTGAATGCAAGTTAAATCGCGACTACAGGAATGCCGATAGGATACAAGAAGACCTCCGCAACGCAGGTGTTGTCGTCAACGATAGAGAAAAGATGTGGAGGTCTGATGGTCTTTTGTTTCAAGACAATTCTGTTCGCAGATACAATCAATCGCGTGAATCAGCACCTACCGAAGATTCGGAAGAGATCCAAAGTTTGATTAATCAACGATCCAAAGCAAAGGCCCAACGTAATTACAATGAAGCTGACGAGATCCGTGATACACTCCTGAATGAGTTTGACGTTACCATTGATGACAGACGCGCCGAATGGAGTGTTGGTGGTGCCTTTGGAATGGTCACAGAACGTGTAAATAATAGGAATCGTGGCTTTGAGAGAGCTCCTGGTTGTCCACCCACTGAAAATGATGCACAAATTGCACAAATGCTGGAAGAACGAGACGCTGCCAGAAGTGACCGTGATTTTGACACGGCTGATAATATCAAAGAGGAACTCAAGATGATGGATGTTTACATTGACGATCGTAAAAAGCAGTGGTCCATTGGGGGCGCCGAAGCAAAGAAATCGGATTCCTATCATCGCCGGGGTGGCGGGTCCTTGACCGAGAGCGAAGAGGCAGAAATCACCAATCTTCTCGCGAAACGATTTGTAAACAAGAAAAATCGACAGTTCAAGAGTGCCGATGCGATTCGAGATCAACTTAAGGAACAATACAATGTACAGATCGATGACAGAAACTTTGAATGGCATGTTGTCACTGACGGCTTCACCATGTCTCCAAGCTCCGCACCAGTCAGCGAAGAGACTCAAGAAATCATCGACGGTCTAGTGGCCGAGCGTGCACTTGCCAAGCTCAACAAGGATTATGATACTGCTGATTCCATCAGAGATTTGTTGATGAGCGAGCATAATGTATCGGTTGATGATCGGGTGAAGGAATGGCAAGTTATCTCTTCTTACGAAAGTGAAAGTCAGGACGAAATCCGAGCTGTCGCTGTCAATGTAGAGGCAGATGTGGAGACTGATTCCAGTATTGATTCCATTGAAGAAATTCAAGGGGAGCTTCAAGAGGAGCTTCAAGCGGAACTCCAAGAAGAGCTTCAGGAGGAACTTGAAGAGGACGACGATGAGGAGGATGAAGAAGAAGAAGAGCCAGAGGAAGCGGTCGCCAGTGCTGCTACAGAATCCATGGAAGATTTAAAAAAGCTCACAATCCCAATGCTGAAGGACAAACTCCGTGAATTGGAGCTACCAGTCGGTGGCAAGAAAGCGGAACTCATCGAGAGAATCTTGGGCGAATAGACTTTTAAAAAGAAATACTAGGCAAGCATGTTTTAGATTACACCATCCGCCCGTAAATTTCCTTTGCGCATTATACTTTTTCCAGAATCAGTTTTCTTCGGTGGTAGTTTTGCGTCCTTTAGGATGCCAAAGTTGTCTCTAGCATACCACAAATAATCACTGACCGTGGGACTATCCGAAAAGACTCGATTGCCATAGATGTAAGGAAACATTGTCTCGTCAATCTTGCATTGCTTCCCAGATCCTCGATTTTCAGCAATCCCGAATAGCCGCTCTTCAAATCCAAACATGAGAGTAACTGCCTTCCATCCGCGCAAAGAGCCAGATACTTCCCACAATATGTCAGAGGCTTCTTCTTCATAATACTCGGCAACTTCAAAAATGGTGGTGGGTTCTTCTCGCACACAGCCCACCAATGGGAAAATGGCATCGTACGCATTGCATTCCCACATTCTACGCCTCCAATCACGGTAAAAGTCAATGTTGCATCTCACATCACTATTTTCCATCCGCTGGGCAATGGCCCCATTCCACTTTCCACAGGCCGCACATTCGCCAGCCCACTTTTCTTCGCCCATGGCGTCTGTACCTATTTTCACGCTGAGGTCGTTGACCTTTTGAGCCTGTGGCAAAAACTCTATCCCAGTCGCCAACACTTGAGTCATGGTATCTCGACAGTAACCAAAGCCTTTGAGCAAATCTTCAATGTTCCCAAAGGTGGGTCCTCCGGAAAAAAAGCAAAAGTCTTCATTGTGTTGCTTGAAATTATCGGACAAGTTGCGAATAAAGTCTTCCAGCTCCGTGGGCGGCAGACAAATGTAAATTGGATATTCCGTTTGGCCAGCCAGTTCGGAAGGAAGGTTGTCGTGCCGCGTGAGTACTACATCGTCCCCCTTTCCCATGGCCAACAAGGCGTCGGCCATCTCGTTGGGTCCTTCGGAAATGATAACGGAGGGACCATCTTTCTTGTGTTCAATTTCTTGTTTCCCAGAAGCTAGAAACTTTTGGTAATCCATAACGGCCTTGCTGTCTGACCATGTGGCCATGCCAAGTTGTGTTGTTCTTGATTTCATTGTGGGCGGAGCCGGAAATGATGATGATGAAGCAGTTGATCCTGATAATGATTGGGATGTAAGCGGTGTAAGGAATCCGAAAACAATAGAGCTAGAGCTCAACAGCAGGAGACATGACAATATAAAATGTATCATGGTGGTTGTAGCAATATTTGTTCAGGATAGACCAAAAGCACAAGAGAGTGATGTGCAGTAGGTCCTTCTGTTTTGTGTTCTGTTCACAATGAATATTCGAACGTCACACGCACTGATTATATTGAATATGGAGGGGACCCTATGAAACGGCTCCCCTGAATGAGTGAATGAATCTTCGACAAAGGATGATGAAGCTCGCCACTGTTTAGTAGACTATTTCAAATACACTAGTAAGTTGCAGCTCTAACGATAAAAAACAGTCATCTCACTTCTGCTGATTTCGACAGCTCAATATATTGTGGTGGTGGCAAGTAAATTATAATGAGATCGGATCAGGTGCGTTGCTGACAATTGAAAGGGGTTCTTTGGTGTACCGGAATTGTGATTAGCATAGGCTTTCATGATACCCCCTCAACCTTTAGACAGAATCGAACACCAACGAATGAATGAATCAACGAATGAATCAATCAATCGAGCCATGGCGAATTCTACGATTGCCATAAAATACTGGATGTCACAAGTACAGTACTTCATGAGAGAAGAGTCACATTTTTTCTTCTTCTTGATGGACTACGACTTCTTCTTCCAAATTTCCTTGGTAACTTTTTTCCATAGTCCCGACCACAGTCGTCCACTCCATATATTTTCGCCTTCGTATTGTTCCACAAAGTGCGGGTTTCCCGGTGTGCTGGTAACTGACCCCTTACCATTTATTACGCTTTTCAACCCCGAGAATCCATTCAACCAAACCGTAAAGACATTGCTGTAGCTACCAAAGAGTGCGTGGTGGGACACCGCAGACTTGACTTCAACGTTTGGACAATCTCGAAAATAGCTGTACACGCCAACACCTTTTGCAATGTGGTGATCTGCACCGATGTGTACACGGTATCCACACACATCGTCAGAATAGTTTGCCCCGATCACGTCATAGGGCAACTCGCTTTGGTAGAAATAAACCCTGCCGTGCCGACCATGCCATGAGACAATATCACCAGTTGTGTGTTCCGCGGCAAGACCATAGATGGTGACATTATCCCCATACACTTCCAATCCAGTTTCACATTGACACTCTCCTTCGGTGGTAACATGGTACTCGCTTAGCTCTGGTTTGTTTGGAGCTTCCTTCTGCATCAATACGCAATGGTCCGCTCTCCAAAGCCATAAATTATCTCCGATCACGTTGCTAGAGTATATTTTTACCATGCATTGCACCTTGACAGTCCTTTCCGAGCGACGGCCACCCACAAAGCAGTACAAGTCATGAATTGCTGATGGTTGAGCGTTACTCTCCTTTGTCGGCGCCCTTCCTACATCGTCTGGCGTACCCCACTGGAGGAGGGTTGATCCCTCGAATATAAATTTTGAGATGACACTGGCCTCCAGGGCAACACCACTTAAACGAACACCATGCAATCCAGATTGAACCATGATGCACGGAGATCCGTCCCCTGGTGCCTGAATGGTGGCCATCCCTAAACCGAGCACGACTTGATGATGCCTAGAGATGACTAAGGACTTCTGCCAATTGTAAATCCCGGGGCAAAGCACGATATGTATCCCTGCATTCGTAGCTTCCTGGATGACAGCAACGTCATCGTATTGAGTAAATACTCGAACGAATTTGAGATTGTCAACCATCACCCTTTCCATGCTGGACATTGCTTCGTGATTCGTGCCATTGGTGCCAGATCGTGCTCGTGGAATACCTAGATGCAATTTGGAGCTTTCATCTAGGAACAGGAACGGTTTCTCGATGACTACACCATCCGAAGGATGTGGTTCGTCAATAATCTGTGGCCGCCTTCCAACCCAATCACCATGACGGCCTGTATCGGATGTGCAGCCCATAAGTACCATTGACCAGGCACCTCCAGTCTTGGTCTCGAATGCGCAATTGCGGGCACAGAACTGCTGTTGAGACCCGAACAAAACCGTTTGGCCAACATCAACATTCGACATGAATCCCCCACTTGCGCAATTATTCCCAAGCGAGAGATGCAAGTTATGTTTGACACGAATTCGGCGCAATGGCGCTGCCTGGCTGACTGCCCACAACATGCCTTCCTGTGGTGAGGAGTCTCCATCAAGAGAAGGCAACGGATAAAAAGCTTTGAATGGGGGTCGTAGGCTTTTTTGAATGTCGTTGCCTTCTGAAACTATTGGAACGCTTGGTTGGCCTTGTGGCCCGCGAAGAAATGAGGTGTTGGAAGTAAAGTTCTCGGCTGACCGCCAGAATGTATCTAACGAGCCAACATCAGGATTGTCAGTGTTTGCTGGCAAACAATAAACGCCCAGAGACCCACGAAACTCAACATCCATAGGAGTCTCGCCTAGCCCCATGACTTGGGTCCAGTAACCAACAGGAAAGTTTATATTGTTGTAGACTCCAGGTCGAAAAAGTACGACTATCCGCCGATCAGAAAAGTGTCCAGAGTGGCGGTCCACCAGATCTTCCAGTAATATGGTTTTGTCATCATTCCCATGATTATTATTATTCTCATCATCATCATCATCGTCAAGAAAATCATCAGGATATATGAGAACGCTATTTTTGTCTGGAAAAAGATCTCGAAGCTGAGGAAACGAAAGTTTTGCGGCCATCGGGGAGGGAATGATGAAGCTTACTTCTGGAACAACACTTTGTGAGTGTGCTCAAAAGCAATCTACCGGTATATATACTTTGATGATGAGAGAAAACTACACAATATAAAATAATAACTTCGCCTCTGAAAATAATAAAAATATCTTCGACCTAAAATGAGGACCCGGAAGAGAGAATCTTCGACAAATATAGTCTTCGGTTCGAAATTGGAAACATGATGATGCTTCTCATCCATTATAACAACTTGCCAGTATCAAAGTTGATTGGTATTCATCGACAAATCCCACAGCGATCCACTCACCCAATAAGGCAAGATTGTGTCGAATAGTAAATACATACATATCCATACATATATTTCCAATAAATAAAAATGGTGCGAATCAAGAAAAAGCCGGATCAACTGGCCTTCTTTGCACAGCAGTTCACTCCTGCACGGCATTTGTTCAATCTTGTTCTGGTGGGTGTCATAGGCCTTATTGTGTGCATGTTTCTGATACTCCAAGAAAAGGAGGTAAGCAGAGAGCAGAGAGCATAGACTTTTGTGAATGCCTCAGACGGTATAAAGAATGAGATATATCTGGCTGCTGCTGCTGTTACTATTATGTATTGGAGTTTTCTTTAGATTCGACGACTGTCCATCACAATCATAATCACTCGCCACAGATATCACTCACTCATACCACGTCATGTCATATAGGAACGAATGATGGGATCTTCCAGCATGGGCTCCATGGGCGCACATGCCCTATCCACCACGGCACTTTCCATAGCTACTACTAGTAAGAAACCACCACACTTGGTTTATGGAACTGCCTGGAAGAAGGACGATACCGCACATTATGTCCACGAGGCCATCAAGGCTGGATTTCGACACATTGATACTGCTTGTCAACCGAAACATTACAACGAAGCTGGTGTGGGAAATGGTTGGACCGAGGCGGCCCAAGAATTGGGCTTGGACCGAAACGACATTTGGCTGCAAACCAAATTCACGGCACCGAATGGACAGGACCCCAACAACATGCCCTACGATGCTTCTGCACCACTCAAAGAACAAATGTTAACGTCGTTGGAAACGTCTCTCAAGAACTTGCAAACCACCTATTTGAATTCATGGGTCCTTCATTCTCCCCTCCCGACCATGGACCAAACCATGGAAGCTTGGAAAATTATGGAACACGAGTTGGAGAATGGTCGGGTCCGTCAATTGGGCATTAGCAATTGTTATTCTTTGGAACAATTCCAATCGATTTACAACCAAGCCACGATCAAGCCCAAAGTATTGCAAAATCGATTCTACCAAGAGTCCAACTTTGATACGGAACTTCGACAGTTTTGCAAGGAGCATGGGATTACCTATCAATCCTTTTGGACGCTGACCGCGAATCGAAAAGCCCTCCATTCGTCCGAGCTAACGGCGCTTGCTACCTCTCATGGGGAGACGGCTCAGACGTACATGTATGCCTTTTTAATGTCACTGGGGTACATTACGCCACTGTGTGGAACCACGGACTTGGACCACATGAAACAAGATGTAGCAGTGGTAAAGAGAATACAACAGGGGGATGTCCTCTTTGCTGGTGACGATGAATTGCGGGCGTTTGCGAAGCTGCTGCATATGCCCGACTTGTAAGATTAGAAATAAATACTGGTGTACCTACATACATAATAATGATTTGAAATGGATTGGATTAGATTACAGTACCAGTACTTTTGAACCTGCACTCGCTCGTTGTGTTCGATGGATTTCTGGGGCCTCGTTATTGGAAGTGAATAGTACAATATGAAAGAGCAGAAACCCTAATAGGATACCATTTAGATGATAAGCTTCACATCTAAATATGACAGCACGATTCCATCCTTAGCCTTCTCGTTCTGCGATGGGAAACTGAAGAATGAGATGGATATTATGAAAATGATTGTACGGTACATATAGAGAGTTACAGCAGAAGAATTGATTTTTTAAAAGAAAGAGTTATCTTCTACAACAATCATAGCATCCGGCCCCTTCAGAAGTATTATATAATATTGTAATGTATAAAATAAATATAATAATACCTTTTCCTTCAACTTGGGCAAGTTGAACGACAGGCCAATTGAATTTTTGTACAAAAGCGGAATACAGTACAGTAGTCTATTGCTTAGTAAAGGAATGGAAGACCTTGAAGAAGCTTGTCACCTCCATCGTAAAGGTCGTGACGGACGAGCTCGGCAAAGCCAAGCATGGCAATGCGTCCGTGTTGAAGTTCGCAGAGAGATCTTCGCTCAAGAACTTCGGCAGGAAGGTTCAACTTTCCTTGTTCAAAGTCGCCGAAAGTTCCCTTGGTCTCGACAAGGCCGACAGCAAGGAAGATTTGGGCCCAACCGACGGCGGGGACGGCCTCAATGGCGGCAACACCGTTGGGGACGTCGGCGAACTTGAGTCCAAAGGCAAGCTCTCCAGGGAAGCGGGAGATCTCTTGGACGAGGTATCCAAGAAGAGCCAGCTGTGCAACACGTCCGTGCTTAAGCTCAGCAAGACGGTATTTGTCAAAGGTTGGTTGGTCGATCTTGGAGGAAAGTCCAAGAGGATCGAAGAAACCGGTGGGGGAAATAACACCAAGCTCCTCTTCGTAAGGGGAAGAGATGGCTAGAGAAGTGGAGGCTTGTCCTTGCTTGGCAGGAGCAAAGGCAGCGGCGGAGGCGACAAGGGTGGCAAGGATGGCAGTCTTCATGGTGATGTTATTGTTTGTTTGGACAGAACGGACGATGTGTGTGCTACCTTTTTTTCTTCCAAGCAAGAGTTGAGGGTCCGATCTTTTTTCCGAAGACGACGTACGCAACTTCTACCGTACATCGTCCAATCATCGAATGCGCAAGATACATTCAACTTGTGCGTTGGGAGTACTGAGGCGGACGGCGGACGGGACGAATGACCACACTGACGTCATGAAAAGCAACGATGGAAAAACATCGAACGAACGAACGAATGATGCGTAACTACGACTGCTACGGTGGAATATTTCGTTCCATTATTGTGATGAGTCATCGCTAAATGGCGCGGCTTGGTAGTAATAACGAGTGATGGTCCTTACCACGCTTTAGATATACGTTTGGCAAAGTCAGAGTAATGGAACCGTGGAAAATATTATTTTACGCGTTTTCTGACTTTGTCTGTAAAAATCACCTTTGTCCTTCAGATGTCACATGACATCAGGCTCATTCGTTTTCGTCAGAAATGCTTCAGCCTGCAACAAAATTGACAACCACCGCAACGCCTTTGTATCATACTCTCTTTTGAATGTATTACCTATATAATCATAGATAGAACCAACAAACTTTAACGAAAACATGATACAGAGATATTCCAATATCACAATTTTGCTTCTCTGTTGGATTCTTCGAGCAGAATCCTTTGCACAACCAAACAACAAGAATGGAAGGACAACGAGAATACGGCAGTCTATATGTTCCACCACGACAACGACGTCTACTTCCGTTCATGCTTCTTTGAATAATAATGACAGTTCCATATCCGAACGACGAAAATTTCTCTCTCATGCAATGGGTGCAGTCGCCACCATGACAGGTATCAGCAGTACCACCATCATCATGATGCCCAGCCAAGCCCTGGCGCAACAACCACAACAACCCACACCAGGTACTACTTCTGCCGCCGTCACCGTACCACCACAAGAACCCAACAAGTATGGCGTCGCTAGTAACAAGCGACTGGGTGGGTTGTCCAACAAAATTCGTAATATTTGCAAGACCATGGATGAGATGCAACGAGATTTGATGCAAGAACGATGGTGAGTCAGCACATAAAACCAACCACCAAGTCTCATGGAAGGTATATTCGAGAATATACCAACAACTCATCATTTCTTTTCTTCTTTTCTTTTGCAGGGATTTGGTGGAACAATATCCGGCTCAATTGCGATCGTATGTACCACTCCTTACAGCGTATACGGATTCGGCCTTTCCTTCGGAAGCCCCCAGCGACTGGGGACTCCGGGTAGCCCTGCGATACGAAGTGGGACGCTACTTTGGTTGTTTGGAACGCTTGAAAAGCGCCGTGGCCAAGCGGAATTTGAGCGAGGCCTACGTTGCCTATTCCGATATGAGCTTGCATTTGGATCGGTATCTACGAGTGGGTGGAATTTATACATTCTACGATAATGTCATTGACAATGAAAAATACTTTGCGGAATACGACAGTGCCTTGGTATACTCGGATCCGATCAAGGATCCAGCAGATGTGCGGGATTTGGTAGTCTTGTGCAAAGGACCTGATAAGGGAAAGACGGGAATTGTGATTGGAATTTACCAGGATGGGAGTGAAACCTGTGCCGTCAAATTGGACCGGTACAAAGGAATGCGAGAGATTCGAGTCGTTCCCAGAAATTGGGCAGCCAAGCGTTTGGGTGAGCAAGAGCCAGATGACGTCTTTTTGATCCCACGGAAAGCCTCGTAGAAACTGGTATCAATCATACATATATACAAAAGAATAAAGAATGATTTTGGAACCCTTTTTGCGATTGAAAAGTGACTGTGGCATGAATTGTGAGGAGTCAGATTTCTCAAGTTCCCTGCCGCTTGGCCAACTTTGTTTGATTCAACACAGAATAGAACCCCATTTACTCGGCTCGGGGTGACACTCTAGCGGGAGGCTTCTTGGAAAATTCTTCTTCTTCGCCTTCCTGTTGCTCTTGTTGTTCCTTTTCTTGTTGTTGCTCTTGCTGTTGCTCTTGATGTTGTTGGTGTTGGTGTTGCAATGGATCCAAGGAAAACCGTTGCTCCCACTCAATGCCCCCATCGCAACCCATCATGACCGCCAAGGTTGACAAACGCAACCATACTCGTTGTCTAAGTATGATAAGAGCTGCGGTCGGAAGATCGGGATTCAAGCCTAGCCATTCAATCTTCAAGATCTTTTCTAGGCCTTCGTCAAACCCTGTGGTCAGCAAAGCGACCGCACCCAATTCTTTGGTAACGGCACTTTTCTTCAAATCACCAGGTGGTATGTCTATGATTTCGTCTACCGTTGCTTCCTTCTTTTGATCTTCTTCTTCTTCTTCCTCGTCGTCGTGGTCTTCGTCTTCTTCCTGATCAGAGGATGGCGACAAATAAGGTCCGGTAACCTGTTTGGAGGAGGCTGAAATCATATGCACATCTGCCACCAAACCGTACACATAGGGCAATCTCCTATCATCTCCAAACCCATCAGCCAACCACACTTCCAACATACCTGCCGAATTCGACGCATTACCTTCCTCCTCTTCTGCTCGAGCTGGTTCCGTTGGAATTTGTTGTGGCACCTGATCAGTTTCAATTTCGGGATCTTCTTCTTCTTCTTCTTTGTTCAAGTCACTGTCATTGTTGTTCTCTTCGGCGGCTTCTTGTTCCAAAACCAGTTTCTTGGCCAATCGATACCAGTTAGCAATGGTGGAGGCATCCCCCGCATGTCCCACCCGAAAGGTTACCCACACCGTCTCGTCGTGAGTCAAGTATTCGCGTTCGTCGAGTTCCTGGACCAAATACAAGAGAGCTCCTTCCAAATCCCATACCGGTCGGTCCTTGTCCTTCCACATGCTTCGAATCTTCTCCAAATTGAACGAAGGAGACGGTACATCTTGCTCATCAGCGGATTCTGGACTGGGTTTGGAAGCTACATTGGAGGGTGTGCTCCTGGACGGTGGAGTTGGTTTTGTGGTGGTTGTGGTTGTGGTTGTGGTTGTGGTGGTTGTTGTTGTGGAAGGCGCTGGTGGTTCTTTGGAAGAACTGGGACTTTGTTTTGGGACATCGTCGACTTTCACCTTCTTTGGCGTCTCGTCTTCTATTGGATGGACTTGACGCTTCTTTCCGCCGTCCTCTTCGGAGCTAGGCATCTTGCGTTGATGGCTTTGCAATGATTGTTCAAAATAAAATACAAAAATAAAAACTTCGCCTGTTCGGTTTCGACCAACATGATCAATGTGATGTAAAAGTACTTTGAAAGTCGCAATAAGAGATTGACGTGGAAGTGCGTTCCTCAAAAAATTCAACCTGTCGATCGCCATCTCACACCACGCTACAGTAGCTGTCAGCCATCACACTCAAACATTATTTTCAGAGAAAGTATACAGTAGCATGTTCAAAGTGAACAATCTAGTGATCCTTTCCCTTCTAGTGGGAGCCACTTCTGGCTTTGTCACTCCTTCTGCTGTCAGCCGTCCGTCTCTCGCAGTTGGCAGCAGTACTGTCGAAGATGCCACCTTTACTTCCGAAGGTGCCAAGAAACAAATTGGAAACGATTCCTTCTTGAACCAAGATCTCATGTCCCGTGCTCAAAATGGACCCGGCAAGAAGAACGAAGAATCTCTCAAAATTGGTATCGTTGGTGCTGGTTTGGCTGGTATGGTTGCTGCCATGGATTTGGCCGATGCTGGACACGAGGTGGAAATGTTTGAATTGAGACCCTTTGTGGGTGGCAAGGTTTCGTCGTGGCAAGACAAGGACGGAAATCATATTGAAATGGGACTTCATGTCTTCTTTGGATGCTACTACAACTTGTTTGGAATCATGAAGCGAACTGGTGGGTTCGATAAGAACTTGCGCATTAAGGAACACATTCACACCTTTGTCAATGAGGGTGGCAAGTTGGGTGCTCTTGATTTCCAGTTTCCCATTGGAGCTCCCGTCAGTGGATTGCAAGCCTTTGCCAGGACAGAACAATTGGGAGTGGAAGATAAGTTCCACAATGCTCTGCGACTAGGTACTTCTCCCATTGTCCGCGCTCTTGTGGATTTTGACGGAGGCATGGACATGGTTCGCGAACTGGATGAAATTACCTTTACCGAATGGTTCACCCAACTGGGTGGATCTCGTGGATCTTTGGATCGTATGTGGGATGCCATTGCCTATGCTTTGGGATTCTTGGATTGCGATACCATCAGCGCTCGCTGCATGTTGACCATTTTCATGTTGTTTGCCATTCGTACCGAAGCCTCTGTCTTGCGCATGTTGGATGGATCTCCTCAAACTGGATTGCACGATCCCATCATCAAGTACTTGGAAGACCGCAACGTCAAGATCAATCTCAGTACTGGCTGTCGTGACATTGTTCACGACCTCGATCCCGAGACTGGTCTTCCCACTCGCGTCCGTGGTATCAAGGTTGGACAAAAGGAAGAATTGAAGGAATTCGATGCCGTGATTGCCGCCCTCGATGTTCCAGGAGTCAAAAAGGTCTTGCCTGAAAACTTCCGCAAGTACGATTTCTTTGACAAGATCTACAACTTGGACACTGTCCCTATTGCTACTGTCCAAGTCCGCTTTGATGGATGGGTTACCGAACTCAACGATGAAGCCCGCATGATGGATATCTCTGGCGACCAAAGTGATGGCCGTGGAGGAGGAATTGACAACTTGCTATACAGTGTCGATACTGAATTCTCTTGCTTTGCCGATTTGGCCGTTACCAGTCCAGGAGACTACTACAAGGAGGGTGAGGGATCCTTGATCCAAGCCGTCTTTGATGAACGTGCCACCGGCCGATCCAACGAACAATTGGTCGAAGACTGCATCAACCAATTGCACAAAATCTTCCCATCTTCCAAAAAGCTCAACTGCACTTGGTCCAATGTTGTCAAGCTCGGACAATCCTTGTATCGCGAAAAGGTTGGCCAAGATAAATTTCGCCCAACCCAAGCCACTCCAATTTCCAACTTCTTCTTGGCCGGATCGTATACGTACCAAGATTACTTGGATTCCATGGAGGGTGCGACACGATCTGGTCTCATGGTGGCTGATGAAATCATTGCCCGTGCCGATGGACCCACTGGTTTGAAGTCTCTTTCCCGAGCTGCCAAGGCTTTGGAGGATGCTGCACCAGCAAAGAAGGCACCATTCTTTGCCAAGGAGTAAATAAACAAGAGAGGAAGAAAAAAAAGGTCATGAAACGGATCCGCTAGAATATAATGGAATGTTGTTTAGAATCAGCGTCTACATCATAGTGTATTGTTGTGCATTGCTGTTGCTTGTGCCCTCGTGCACACGACCTGGGACAACTCCGTCCTATTGCAGTACCACAGCTGCAACTTGTGCCTAAGAGAACTAATCCACTGTGTCATGCCGCAATTTGCGCTTGTGCTGCGAGTCAGTCTTCATTATTCTCTGTAGATAATGGCTGTCAGCTACTTGGTCGCTTTTAGGCGTCAATTGGAGCTATGACACTGTTCCATTCGCCATCATCTGTCACGATCAAGTCTATTGGTTTGACGGAACTCGTCAAGTTTTCAACCCGCAGTGGCTCGCGATATGGAGAATAGTGCTGGATGCGGCTAAAGCCATCTTTGTAGTCAAAAGGTGACCCCAGAAGCAGTTTACGGGCATCCTCCGTAAGGTCGTAGTACACATATGGTTTGTCCGGGTCATTCCTGTTGGGCCAAGATTGGTCGATCGATGGTTTCGAAATTGAGCATAGCACATGGGGTTAGTTTTCAATGCAATTTCAATTTTGAATTGACCGATGCTTCACTTTTTTTCACTACACTACGTACCATTCATAAAGTTCTGGGTCAACTTCTTCCGAGATACACGCTATCAAAGGGAAGGAGAATAATTCGCTAGAGATTTGAGGAATGTAGCCGACTATTTCGTCGAGAGTACTGAACGCTATTTGCTTGTCGGCACCGACCGCCTGCCGCAAAAGAAGAAGCACGAGAGGAGATGTAAGAGTTTACTCTTGAAGCATCGAGCAAAATGAAATACACTGATGTAATTTCGTACCTTGTAGCTACTCGATTGGAGGGCCCGGTATACCTTGACCCATGCAATCAGGAACTTGATAAGTACCAAGGCACTAAAGACCACGGAACTCCAACCAAATATCGAAGTAATCAATTCCTGATCATCTGTCATCCATTTCGCTCCTCCTTTTCGGATCTGAGACACAAACGGAAAGATTCCGCCTCTCCCAAAGAAATTTTGCCGGCAGTATTCGTATTCGAACGCATCATTGAATTCTTCAAGGTTCCCATCCACGGTGAAGCTGCTGCCACCGTAGGAAGCGTCTTCAAGGGGACCGACAGGACAAAGATTATCATATGGGAACCCTGCCCAATAGTAGGATGACATGATAGCCGTCGCTACCAAGGCTAGTGGAAAGAACACGCCATGACTAATCCATGCGATCGCATTGCCGAGATGAGGAGCTCGTTCCCATGTTCGGAGCAGACTAAACTTGTCCGTGTAGTACTTTAAGAAGAGAGAAACGGCACACATCAAGTATGCTCCAGGGAAAATGGAACAATACCATACGCACAAGAAAAGAATTTTGGTCATATCGGTGTAGCTATACATGCGGAATATAGAAATATAAGAGGATCAAATAGCAATGTAGTCAGCGTAGGATGCCGATGGATAGACACTTACCGTTCTGCCAAGCTCCATTGCGTTCCCTTGAACAACAAGTTCATGGCATCTTGACAGGTAGCTCTTGGTGCCATTATGTGACGATTGACGTGCCCCATAATATCAGTGAGCTGCAACGCTGTGCTCACCACAATCTCAGAAAAGAATTGTTGATACACTTTGGTAATCAGACCTCCTTCTCCCAAAAGCGTATTAGTGAATGGCGTAACGATAGTAATCACAATCGCTGTATTGACCCATCGAAAAAAGGAAATCTGGACCAAGAAGAGGAGTCGGTTAGAAGGAATTTTTGCCAGAACCGGGCATGCAAGTAGTTAGAGACATACCTTAAAGTAAAGCGATGTCTGAAAATCGGATTCGGAAGGATGTGGTTCCGAATTGGTCAAGGCCTTTGCGAGGATCGGAAATGCAACATTGAAAGCTGTAATCGTGTAGGCACCGGCAACCAAAGATACATTATCGGCTGCACTGACAGCAATAAAGACCACAACAATTCCAACAAAGGTCACAGCTCCGGTGGCGGTGATACTCTTGATTCGTTGAAGTTGGGTCACATTTAGATCTTGCCATCGAATCGTACTGGGTTCTTCCGGTTCCGAGACGTACAAGACGTGTTCTCCTCGAAATAGGTATTTTGGGTCAGCCACGGCCGTCTTGATGTTCTTTTCCGCCTGTACGATTCCCACGGACATTTTTTCGAGGACATCTCGTTGGGCGGTTTCGGTCTCAAAGGTCACAAACACGTTGGTACAGGGATACGAAAGCTGTGCCAACCCCTTCACCTTGGCGCTCAGAGATACCATGCGTGCTGAAAGAAGAAGACAGGCAGACAACGTTAGTTTGGCCAAGAAAGAGCCATGGAAAACGGCTAGATCTTACAATAGTATTCGGGAATTCCTTTGGACACCAAGGCCAACATTGTAGCAAAGAAAGACCGATCCCGTTCAATCAAAGCTGCCTTGCGAGCAATATTGAGCTCGTCGTTCGATTCCCCAGGTTCCAACATCAATTCGATATTTCGCAAACATTCCCGCCGCTCCACCAATGTATGAAGCAAGAGATCGTTCTCCACCGCACATGTAACAACCGTTGCATGGGCACCAAAATTGTCCTTGAAGAATCGGTGCCATTCTTCGGGGTCTGTGGCAGAATCGGCTGTTGAAAGAAGATATGAGACGACAATCCGCACAATGAAAAGACTCGATAGTACCATACAAACCAACTACAAATTGGAAAGGCTTACGTGGATTCTCTACTTGAATCGAATAATCTTGTGCCGTTTGTTCGTCCTCGTCAAACTGGGTTTCTTGTTGTTTCAAAAATATTCCCAAGTAAACATAAGTGACGAGGAAAAACAAAATGATGGTGGCATAATTGATCATGCCCACATAGATTGGAATGTCCCCGCATTCATTCTTGAGGACATAGGTGAGGAGATTTCCATCTACTTCCCGAACCTGACACCGAGACGTTGGCAAAATATCTTGCCGTCTCAAAGTGTGCGCCGTCACTCGGTCATCACTGGCGCATTCGCAGCTTGGACAGGCTACCCAGTTAGTCTCGGTACAAATAGCAGATCCCTGCACTAATGAGGGAAAGATGGAGTCCCTATTGCTGGGAGATTGGTAGCTGGAACTGGCAAAGAAGTGAATATTGGCAATGCTAATGAGACCGCATAAAACGGCCAAGAACAAAATGAGCCTCAGCGTGGAAAAGTAGAGTCCAATTCCAATTCCAAAATCTCCCAGTTGAGCGTGAGGTAGCCGAATGGGACTATACAGGCGAGTGGGTACATCGTTTTCTCCTGGTTCGGCTCGTTTGCGATCCGAAGAATCCGCAGTCTCATCAATAAGATACCGACTCAATGCAAAGTGTTCAAAGTAGGCCCAGGCTTTTTCCAAAGATGGTTTGGCCACGACTGTATTCGGGTTACCGGATTGTCCCGTTCTGGCACTTCCATCAATTTCCACTCCATCTTTGACCTCGACTTGAGGATTGTACCATTTCTGGTTCATTAAACTGAGCGCTGTTGTTGATAGTTGTCGTGAATGGCGGAACCAAAAAATAGATAATCGTGTAAGATGATGATTCCACATCTTTCAACAGCGCATGCACAATCTAGATAGTTAGTTACCTATTCGACGCCCATAGGTCATGGAGGATCTTTCGTCCTTTAGAAAGTCAATAGAGGGAGCCGCATCTTTGCTGTATCCATTCTCATCTTTAGTGCTGGTACTGCTCTTGTTGGATTCGTCCAAGTTTTCGGATCCATTGCTGTTGGTGACTGGCATCTTATTGGTGGCTTGACACTATATATAAGTGACGAAGGTAACTGAATGAATGAATGTTTTTGAGAATAAGAAAGCAGACCGGATGATATGATTCAGTTCTTGTCCCAACTATATCGCCCAAGAAAGTGTTCGTGTTAAGAATATTGTTGTCTTGCTTGCTCCACGAGATAGGAAAAGAGGATCTGGGTGACTCTTTTTTTAAAAAAGGCAGCGCTTCAATCTTGTTTATTAGGAAGGTTGGTATTGGTTTCTTTTGATCGCCAACAAGATCCAATAATCCTTCGCCTGCTGGCTGTGGACTGTGGAGCTTTGGATACCGGTCGAAGGAGTCATAACTCCTTTTCTCTATTTGTTAATGTTTATCTCACATCGTCTGTCTCAAAGACAAACGGCACACAAGATGGTCATCGTCCCATGATCTACAGTAGAACCATCTTTTGTACAACTATGGCAATATAGCACCAATTTCTGAAGTTGCTCCATTGAAATATCAATGGAGGAAAACAAGAATAATGAAGCCTACAAAGCCATTCTTCCGACGGGTGGTTGCCGTGTGCTGCTTTTTTCTCACGTTGATATGCAAGGGCTATGCCTTTTCCTTTCCACTGATGCATCCTAAAGGTAGTCGCGTATTGTGTCTCTATCGCCGCAATATTGTGGGACTTGGTATTGCTCTAGATGAGTCGTCTACACAATGTGAACTATGTGCCTACGACAAGGCATTTGAAGTGGGGTCATCATTGCTGGATGCTTTCGCGAATGGTCAAGTCTCCGAGGACGTTGCCTTGCCAGGTATACGCATGACTTCGATACCGCCTGAGACTAACAGAATACTGCAAGAAATTGAACAAGTTCAAGACTTGGTGATGGACGAAGCATTCCAAGTTTCGTTTGAGAAGGAGGAGGAGTCCTACTATTATTCCCTGCCACCACCATATCTATCAAATTCTTCCACCTCGTCGTCATCTCGCTGGGTTCAAGTTTTGCCAGAGTTGCAAGATTTGTTCACAGAAGCCTTTCAAGCGGTAGTAGAATCGCATCGATTATTGAACGAAAGTTCCGGCGTCCAACTAAGTCCCTACGATCTTTTTCATGGACACCTCTTTCGACGATCCACCTATCACCAGAAGGGCACTGTCCTCTACTCCAAAAACGAGACTCACATCCAATCATTCAAGAATCAAGAAGATGAACAGATCGAAATAGGTTCACCTCACCACCAGCTCGGGATTTTGTTTCACTGCTGCGAGTATCCAGCAATGGACAACCCACAGGGTATCCTAGAGGGAATTCCGTTGGGAAATGATCAAGTTGGATCGACTTGTCAGCCAACCTTGGAGGAATGGAAGTTTCGCAATGTGCTGTGGTTGGCAGGGTGGCAGAATATCGACGGTAGACAACAAAGAGAAGAATCATCATCATCATCATCATTATCCCTTCAGCAACCACCGAATATGTGGTTATTGAATGGAAGTGCACCCGAAATCTCTCAGTTGCAAATGGATGGATCCGAGTTTGGTCCGCAGTCTCCCAATACGGTGTGGGAAGGCTTTCTAGTGGCTAATAAAAAGATTACCGCGACGGATGCGAGGAATGGCAATAATGGCGATAATTATACCCAATGTGGTGGTCTCGTTGCGGATCTTTACTACTGTACGGAGAGTGGATCCATTTGGTGTAAAATGTGCTAGCGATATAGTTTAGCATATTACAGTACAGTATATAACATAGTGCTGCATCGGTTACATTTGTGTTTCTTGTACATTATAAAATTGAAGTCATTTCGGGTTGATACATTCACTCTTAAACACTACCAGCAGTACAGGGTTAAAGTTTTCGCGTTTTTTGGGAAGCTTGGGTGAACCAATGATATATACTTGGTTGAACAGATTTGGTTTGATTGCGTTTTATTTTCAATGGAATGAGTGCTCCAGTGAAACGATACTTGCTTAGCCGCATCCGCAAGCGAAGTCACCAGTGAAACGATACGATACGATACAGTAGGATACTTGCTTACCCGGTACCCTGGTAGGCCGCATCCGCAAGCAAAGTCTCCTACTAGATTCTGAGCAACATCATACTGGTCGCAGAAAATCTTAAAGTGTTGACCTGCATCTTCGGATAAATTCCTTTTTGAGGAGGGTTTTGGCCGCGTGCCTGCATGCAGACTTTTGTATATTTTTTATGTCCTGAAAACCGCATTCAAAGCAGCATTATGGTCATTTTCGGAGTAATATTTCCAGTCTTTCAATTAAGAAAAACAGGGTGAATTTTGGCCAAAAGACCCAAACTTCCGTGGAAATACGCGTCCTATATTCTCACCGCTATGTCTCACCTACTCCTCACAAAAGTTTCTGCCCAGCAGTATTACACAAATACTCCCTACCATCCATTATGATGGCCGAAGAAAAAGAAAACAACAAAGAAAAGCATCGCATCAAACGAACTCGAGAAGAACGAGAGGCCGAACGAAGAGCTAGGGGAAGAAGTCCGCGTGGGATTTCAACTGGAAGCTCGTCAAGATCCTTGCAAATCAGCGGACATTCTCGGTCCTCCTCTGGCCGTGGTTCCCGTGGGGGCACTCGACCTACAACCAAAAGCTCTTCGTCAAGATCCTTGCATACCAGCGGACATTCTCGTTCCCCCTCTAAGCATGGTCTCCGTCGGGGCATTCGGTCAAGCGAGGACCTTCGTGCCAAGGACAGAGCTCGACGATCAAGACCTGCCAAAGCCAAACCAGGTGCACGCGCTGCTCGAGACAGGGATTCTCTTTCCCCTCATCGACAGCGTTCTCGTCAGCGTTCTCCTAGGGCCAATCGATCAGACGACAATCGCCGTGCTGGTCTTTCCTCCTCTCGTCACGGTTCTCAACGGAGCCTTCGATCAGAGGAGGATCGTCTTGCCAAGCGCCAAGCTCGAACCGCTGGGTCTGACGCTGGCAAGCCAGGCGCTCATACTGCGTCCAACGCTGATGAAAGGAGTCTAGCTAGACAAAAGAATCGAGCCGATCGTCCTCCCAAGACCAATCGATCACATGAGGATCGTCTTGCCAAGGACCGAGCTCGAAGCGCTGGGTTTCACACTTCCAACCCAGGTGCTCACACTGCTTCCAACGGAGACGAAAGCAGGTCAGCTAGACGAAAAAATCGAGCCAATCGCGACCGAGACGCCAAAGTACGGGCCAAGAATAGCGCTACTAAGTCTAGCCGAAACGGTGCTGGTAGTGACGGCGTGGTAGATGAAGTCGAGCGAGACGCTGTGGGAGATGAGCAGGCAGTTGATGGTGCTAGTGCTGTTGCATTGAAGGCGTCGGCTATCGAAGATGTCGAGAATGAACAGCTCAAGGAACAACAGGCTCAAATCGAAGCGCTCAAGCAACAAATGCAGATCATGGCGCAACCAAATCATGGTTCGGATCCTGACACAGAAGACGACACTGATATCGACGGTACGAATGAATCTCATGGGCAGCATCCCAAAAAGCGTCGGAAATGTATTGTTGGTATCCTTCTAGTCCTTCTTGCAATCGGTGGAGGAGTCGCTGGATACATTCTGGGGAATCCGAAGAAGAAGTCTCCCACCAAAGCTCTACAACTTGATGTAGAGCCGACGACCCCTCCAACTACGGCAGGTGGCAATACTACTGCTATACAATTACCCAGTACTTCGCCTTCCAACAGTCCCACCGAGTTGCAAATCTACACTCCACCAAGTAAAGAAGATTGCGAGGCCATTGCATCTGGTTCGACATTGTCAGACCAAACCCCTTTGACCTCCAGAGAGTTTGTCATTGAGTTTGATGCAACCTTGAACTCTCAAATGGCAGACGAAGATTGGGTAGGACCTCTCAAGGAGCAGCTTCAGTCGATTTTTCTTCCCGTCGTGGCCGGTTGCTCGACTCGTCGTTGGCTTCGTGAAACGAAGAGCAAGCAACACAGACAACTGCAATTGTTGCCAGACTTTGCTATTGCAAACGGCAAAATTAGAGACGCCATTGTAACGGAAGGGGGCTGCGAGGACGAGTCTGCTGCCGCGCTCTGTCATCGCGTGAGCGTCTTGATGGATCTTTCACTTCGCGACGAAGATACGAAGCTCACTTTTGTTGAAGCTTATTTGATTACCACTCTTCGTGCTTCGCCTGACAACGTTTTGGGCCTAGGAACTCTATTGTCCAATCTTGTGGTCGTTCGAGCTGCTCCCACCTCGCCAACAGACGAACCAAGCATCAGCCCGAGCTTTACTCCATCTACTGTTCAGCCTACCGCCCAGCCTACCGATGTACCATCACCCAAACCATCATTTGCCCCAGTTGTTGGTCCCACTACTCTTGAGCCAACAAAGTCCCCGACCAAAGCACCAACAAAGGCTCCGGTCGCGGCTCCAATTTTGTCAACCGAGAACCCAACCGCAAGCCCAACGAAGGCACCAGTCGTTGTCCCTACGTTGGCTCCAGTGGTCGGCCCAACGCCACCACCAACACAAGCACCTACAAAGGGTCCATCGGCTGCTCCATCGTCGGCCCCATCGGCGGCTCCATCGGTGGCTCCATCAAAGGTCCCCACAAAGCGTCCAACTGCAAACCCAACTTCCACCCCGACCAGGAGTCCAACGGCAAGCCCAACTTCCGGCCCAACAAGTAGTCCATCAAAGGCTCCCACAAAGGCCCCAACTCAAAGCCCAACTTCCGGCCCCACCAGTAGTCCAACTTCTTTTGACGTTCGCCCAATATTGATGGATATGTACGACGGTTTGAATACACAATTTGCATCCTCTTCGAATGGTTGGGAAGGGACCGGGGATGAGTGTTTATGGAGTGGTGTTGGTTGTGATTCTTCAGGAAACGTCGTATCAATAACTCTTGAAAATAAAGGTTTGGATGGTACCATTTCCTCGAGGATTGGAGAATTGTCAACACTCACAAATTTGGTTCTGGCGACTAATTCGTTGGTTGGCACTATCCCAACAGAGATTGGGCTTTGTACTAAGCTCAGATTTTTGACCGTCAGAGAAAACCCAAATCTTGGAGGCTCAATACCAACAGAGATCGGTCTCTTGACAGCGTTAGAGTTGGTGAATTTCTGTGAGATCAATTGGAAACGTTTTTGCTTGTATCCCAACAGAGCATCAAATCTCACATTTCTTTCTCCATCGATCTGGCCGTAGACGATGATAACTTGACTGGGAACATTCCAACAGAGATTGCTGGTATGAAGGAACTTAGAATGTTGATCCTAGGTACGAGTGATTATTGTGTTGTTGTGGTAAAATACTCGTTTCGGCTATTTGCCTCGCCTTACGCTGCTGTTGTCTTGGTTGGAATCGTAGCCATCAATAATTTGAGCGGCACTGTACCATCAGAGATTGGTCTATTGACTGGGATTACTCATTTGGATATAGCCGTACCGTATGGCACGAACCCTGCTCTTAGTGGCCCATTGCCAATAGAGCTTTATCGTTTGACAGGACTGCAGTCTTTAATTTTTTACGGCAATAGTTTGAGTGGAAGTTTGGCAACAGAGGTTGGTCGTTTGACGGATCTCGCGTACTTCAACCTGGGTAAGCCGTACTGGTATATGGATTCGACGTGGCCCCACGGGTGTTGAACATCATCATCTCATGCCTTTTCTTTGAATTCTGCTTGCTCACTGAAGGCCATACTCATCTTGGTTCCACAATTCCATCCGAGATTGGTAATTTGGCAGCTGTCGAAATGATCAACTTTGGTAAGAGGTCAGAGGAGAATGGTATCGTTGGTTTTTGAGACAACAGCTTTTGGCTCATGCGAAACACTCTGCCTTACAGAAAGAAACAATTTCATTGGGTCGCTTCCCTCAGAGATCGGAAATTTGTCAGCGCTTAAACTGCTGTGGTTGTATGGTTAGTGAGAACAAATACTTGGGATTGAGCTTTTTGGAAATGTCTCATGCTTCTTTTTGTGCGTCACAGCTATGGACGGTCCTCTCACTGGTAAAATTCCGTCTGAGATTATCAACTTGACAGCATTGACAGACTTGAGGCTGAGTAAGTCAATTCGAACAATGGCTGCCTTGATGTTTTGTTTGATATCTCACAATCGATGTTGCTTTTCTTCTTGGCGCTAGGCTCTAATCAACTGACCGGGAATGTCCCTCAGTTGAAAGCGAGTGGAGCTTTCGAAGTCTGTGATTTGCGTAAGTTCTGCAAGTACCGTATGCACAAGGACCTCTATAGCATATTCTCACAAGTATTGCAATGGTTTTGCACCGCCAGGCAACAACGCTTTAGGAGACAAATCAGTTGGTGTTCAAGCTGGCTGCTGGGTTTAGCATGTAGTTGAACCAATGCTTCATCGCTTTCAACACGTGGTTGCAGCGATTACTGTAGCGACTGCCGTCCATCCAGACCATGTGTGGTTTCCATTCTGGGATCAATCAATCAACCATTCGAGCATATTAAAATTTGGCAATCCCATAAGATTCATTGATTGATAAAATGATACTCTAGCCACGATTACTCCCGATAAGTGTCTTGTTGGTTTGATTCTGCACAACTTCTTTCCAATGAGGATTCGATAAGAATTGTATCATGGTATTCTTCACCACATCGTTCAAAGCAGGTTGCGCCATGGGAATGGAATTCACAGTGGCATTCAAAATAGGCTCCCTCAAAGCACCATTGGGCAAACCCACCACAATGGGCAAGAGAGCATTGTGAACCAAGGGAGATGGTAAAAAGGAAGCACCCAGTGGAATGGTCTGTTGGCTGGCTAGTAATGTGGGATCGTAGTGAGCTTCCAGAGGGTTGGGTGGGGGTTTGTTCCTGCGAAAGGGAAGACTGTTTTCCCCATCATCATCGTACGATTCGGATCTTCGCTGCAGTTGTTTCTGGCGTTGTTCTTGTTGTGCTGCTTGTTTGTCTGCGGCATATTTGGTTCCCATGAAGTACTGATCTCGTTGGTATTGAAGTGATTGCAACGTGAAATCGTAAAAGGGCAATTTTCGGACGTCTTCTGCTTCCTTGGGCAATTGATCTCGGACTTGTTCTACCAAAGGATCAGTCTTCGGCTCAACTGTTTCCACCAATCAATCGTTTGGCGACTGCCTGTTTCTTCTAGCTCGTGCGTGTTGAAGATGTATTGATTGGAGAATGAGGAGCAGAAACACGAAACGAGGCATTACTGTAGAGAATGGGTCATCTTGTGTAAGATTGAACAATGCCTGAAAATAATGTGAGAAGGATTGACAAGATATAAGCAAGATCAATACATAAGGAGAAGTGAGTTGAATGCAGTCATGGCAAGATACCAGATGCTGTGTATGACTGAGAAGCACGAATAGAAAATAGAGTAAGGAATATTTTAGCTCACAATTGCAAGACTGATAGATTTTTCAACACGTTTCGAAACGTCAGATCTGAATTCCAAGAGAAGTTTGATTATTAGTAAGAACAATAAGAGAAAGAAGTGTCTTATCGTAAGCTAGAAGAGAGAGCTGAAATCAATAATGACCGAGATATCACAATTGTCAAGAGAGAGAGAAAGAGAAAAGATAAGAGAGAAAAGAACAAAAAAGAGAGCAAGATGAGTGAATACAAAGAGAGAACTCCACAATTCCAATTCAGTGGAGAACCTGAAGACTACGATACCTTTGGATTGAAGTACATAGCAAGAGCTAGCATCAAAAGATCCGATGGAGTGATCACTGGAGAAGTGACTCTACAAACCAAACCAGAGATGGATGCTGAAACTGACGCAGCAAAGATTAAGGAAGACAAGGAGATCAGCGAGATGAACATCAAAGCCTTCAGTGGCTTGATGATCAGCATGAAAACTGACATGACAGAAGGAAAGGTTGCTTTCAATTTGGTAGCCGGAAGCAGAGACAAAGTCAACTACCCAAAAGGAAATGCGAAAGAAGCATGGGACAAGTTGAAGGATGAGTATGAGCCAGAGACAATCACCTCGTACATCAAGATGAAGAGCAAGCTAAACAAATGTCACCTTGAGAAGTTTGCTAATCCAGCTTCGTAGATCACCGAACTCAGCAAGATTTGTGTCCGTTTGGAAGAGATGAGGAAGCACCCAGTAAGTGACGAAGAGGACCAATTCATTCACATCATTGGAAGCTTGCCTTTGAAGTACAGACAAGAGCAAAAGGACTTCGAGAAAATGATGAAAGCGATCACACTCACTATTGAGTACATCAAGCAAGAACTGAATTCTGCACACCAGGACTTTGCCAATGCAACAGAAGGTGACAATGATGACGAAGACAAAGAAGACAAAGATGTCGCTTTGGTTACTGGCCCATTCAAAGGCACTTGCAACAACTGTGGAAAGTACGGACACAAGAAGCTAACTTGCCCTGAAGTAACACAAGCAACACAAACAAGGAGGTGAAAGGAACCAGAACAACAGTGGCAGAGACCGATACAATGGAGGTGGAAAAGGACCTTTCCTTGGAGTCTGTTTCCATTGTGGTATCAGAAGTCACAAGAAGCATGAATGCAGAAGGAACCCAGAGAACCAAAACAACGGTAACAATGGTAACAACAACAACAGAAACAACAACGATGACGATGAGGATGATGTTGCTGAAGTAATGCTGATGGCAACAGAGACATTTATTGCCCCAGAGGAGCCAACAAAGAGAAAGAACGTTTGGTTCAAGTGGAATGAAGAATGTGAAGAGAGTGATTGTGAAGATGACGAAGCAGATGATGAAGTGATTGTGCATACTATCATGGAAGCTCCAAACAACAAAGTTGCGAACTTTGGACAAAAATGACGAGACATTCCACGCAACAAAGCCTACAAGTGATATACGCTTTTGTCAAAGAAGAGATTGAGATCAAATGCTCTTCTGACGTGGACGGATTGGGCACATATGATTCAGATGGGGACGAGATCCCACAACTAGTGGAACAAAAGATGAATGCTAAACACTATGCATCAGACAAATGGGACCATGATGACGGGATGCACAAATATGACTCAGACTCGAACGACTCTGATGATGATGACATTCCACCACTTTTGGTCAGCAGACATGGTATTGTCCATGGACATGATGAGGTATCATTGATTGGCAGACACAGCAACATCTCTGATGACAACTTGATATATGATGAGATCCCACAATTGATCGCACGACAACAATATGATAGCAATGATGACAATAGTGATGATGACGATGACAACTCAACTCATAACAAAGATGCGCCATACTACTATGACAATGATGGGGATGATGAGTCAACAGTGCAGACTGAAACAAGCATCCAAAATGAAATCAACTCGACCCTCAACGGAATCGCAATGGCTAACATGGATAAATGGAAATCCAAAGAGATGAAACTGACACCACAGACTTGGTTTGGAGACAGCGCAGCGAGTACACATATGTGCAATGATGACACCACCCTGTACGACTACAACGTTATTTGAGAGGAGATCAAAGTAGGAAGTGGCAAAACTATCTTGGCAACTAAAATTGGCAAGCTCAAGCTGCGAGTGAAGCAAACAAGTGGAAAGGTAATCATGATGGTACTAAAGAAAGTCAAATTTGTACCTTAGCTGTGGTGCAACCTTTTCAGTCTTACAGCCGCAATGGACAAGGGCTTTGACCTAGGGAACCAAGGGCAAATCATTACAGTGATGCATGGATCGACAACTATTGGATTTAGCAGAATATTCCCCACAAGTTCTGGATTCATAGGACAAATGGCAGCAGAAATGGAACAAATGACAGTAGAAGGTGCATACAACATATTTGAAGCAGGAAGGGAAATCAGCATTGCAAAGTTCCATGAGATGTACGGACATCCAGGAGAAGCAATACTTTGCAATACCATATAAATATTATCGTCACTGCTTTACGATGTTGTTGTCTTACGAAGTAGTAGCTATGATAGACGGTAGACAGTATTGTAATCAAACGTATTCTTAAAAAGAGTGTTACCATCGTCAGATCAACGTGCTTCCCTGGAGGCCGATTTGTCCTTACTACTTACGGACTCTAGAGATCGTACACGTGCACCATAGCATGGTCGATCTCATATTCAATAGCACGGTCACCTTTATTTGGTCCCCTCGAATTGGGTTCCAACGATGGGATCCAGTTCGACACTGTGATTAGTATGTCCACTCTCCATATAGTCGTCCCCTTC